GGCAGGCTGTGGCCTCGGTGCATTGTACCGAAACAAGAAGGACTGCCGGTATTACGTGTGTGTGATGCAATCTGAAATTATGTAGAATGTAGACACACGCAGACGGGTTGATAAAGATTTCAATTGGCAGCCACTTCCAGGAGAAGCCACGTTCATGAGTTCAATCCGAGCCGGACCATTGCATAGACACACAAGATAGAGCGGGCGCCTGTGCAGACTGCAGAGAGGAAAAGGAGTGCAGCCGCACAAACTGCATTGCACTTGTTACTAATAGCTTATTGTTTCTAATAGCGTTCTTGTTACTACTAGTAAGGCATTTGTTACTAGAAGCGATGCACTTGCTACTAATAGCTTTTCTACCTCGTAAGTTCAATGAAGGCACGGAGTTGAACAGAACGACGTGCTGTTTTTAAAGCTTTGCCAGGAAGGTCTCGTCGCGGTCTCGATCGCGTTCCAAAGATCGTGAACGCGTGTTTGAGCCCCGGTTCTCGTTCTTATGAACCAGTGTAAGTCACAAGTCTATTTGCTTGTGTCAGTCGCAGTGGTGACATAACTTGCGCTGTAGAATGACCGGACATTTGCCAGGCGAGGCAAGGACAAGAGACGTCGGAGAGGCGCGCAAAAATCCTTTCCATTGTCAGCCTGGCACAGTTTTGGTTGCAGATAGTGACTCCAGCGACAGTGGTCGTCGGAAAGATCGGGATGGTCGGAGGCGCAAAGCAGCTCACTTTGACCAGTTGACAGGATAGTCGGATAGTCTTTTTCACGTGCATGAACCGGTTTGGTGATATGCAGCTTCAAGCTCTTTTGTAAATCAACTTTCCTTGCCTTGCCAAAGCAAAGACCATAAAAACAGGCAAGTTTGGATTGGCTTGACAAGTGATGTAAAGGCGCCAGCGCGCGACAAGCTCAAGCAGCTCCCTTCGAGCTGGGCTTCCTACAAACCAGAGTATAGTGCAAGCATGTGCAAGCATGTTGCACACTTTTGTGACTTTTTGTGGTGGCTCACTTCAGACTGCAGTCCTTGTTGGTGGTCTGCCCTTTTTCACAGCATGGAAGCCTTGTGCCTTCTGCGATTTTGATTGATTTTCATTCTATTCTATCTAATCACGCAATCCAAGTGAGACGGCAACACCGTTGGCGCTCTGGTCGGCACTGTGAAATCTAATTGAGCAAATACTGAATTAGGTGCAGCACACCAGCAAAGCCTTTCAACTCAGCAGTATAACTCCAAAGACATATCAACAAACATCAAGAGTTAGAAATTTCGTCTTGCCAATACCAATTTGCAGATTCGGAAGAATTGTCGAAGGCAGAAGACAAATGGTTCAACAAACTGGCTCTGCTATATCGACAGTTTTGCAGCGTCTTCAAAATCACTTTTTACAACGTTTTTCCCCAAACAGTGTGGGCACAGTAGGTGAAAAGCAGCTGATGCTTAGATCGCTGAAGCGCGCGGGCGTGAACGGCTAATTCGATGCTATTTACAGTACATTCATGCCTCTCGACATCATCAATGTGCATTTCGACTGCGCAGGCTCGCAGAATCTGAGGGCCCGCGGCGGGTGCTTCCAGCGACTGCGCACTCGTTGTGGTGCCGCGCGCATTTTCGCACATGGTGGTCACTTACTTTTCGTGGCAGGCGGAAGGGAAACCTCATGTTTTGGTGCTCCAAAGTCGACTTTTCGTGACAGGTGCAAGGGATAGGAGGTGTTTTACTTCGAAGTGCACTGATTTCGTGACAGGTGCAGTGAATGGTGACTTTTGGACATGTGCCTCGCTTGCAGATTCGTGGCAGGCACAGCACTCTGTGACCCTCGATGTGCAGATTGTGTGGCAGGCGCAGCACTTGGCATAGCACTTGGTGAACCTCGAAGTGCAGATTTCGTGGCAGGCGCAGCACTTGCTGAACCTCGAAGTGCAGATTTCGTGGCAGGTGCAGCACTTGGTGGACCTCAAAGTGCAGATTTCGTGGCAGGCGCAGCACTTGGCACAGCACTTGGTGAACCTCGAAGTGCAGACTTCGTGGCAGGTGCAGCACCTGTTGAGCCTCGAAGTGCAGATTTCGTGGCAGGCGCAGCAGTTGGTTAACCTCGAAGTGCAGATTTCGTTGCAGGCACAGCACTTTGTGAACCTCGAAGTAGTGCAGGTTTCGTGGCAGGCAGAGCGCGTGGTGAACCTTGAAGTGCAGATTTCGTGGCAGGCACAGCGCTTGGTGAAGCTCGAAGTGCAGATTTCGTGGCAGGCGCAGTACTTTGTGCGCTCAGATGCTCACTCTCTCACTCTCCCACTTTCACTCACACTCACACTCCCTCACGCTCCTCACTCACACTCCTCACTCACACTCCTCACTCACACTTGCACTCACACTCACTCCAGCTCTCACTCGCACTCGCACTCACACTCACTCACTGTGGGTGTAGAGTGAGAGTGAGTGAGAGAGTGAGAGTGAGAGTCAGGGTAAGTGAATGAGAGTGAGTGTGAGTGTGAGTGTGAGCGTGAGTGTGAGTGAGTGTGAGCGAGAGTGAAGGTGGGTGCGAGTGAAGGCGGGTGCGAGTGAGTGTGGGTGAGAGTGAGTGAGATGCGAGTGTGAGTGAGAGTGAGAGTGAGAGTGAGAGTGAAGGTGGGTGTGAGTGTGGGTGAGGGTGAGAGTGAGAGTGTGTGTGAGTGAGAGTGTGAGTGTGAGTGTGAGTGAGAGTGAGAGTGAGAGTGACACTCACTCTCACTCACACTTGCACTCCCTCACTCTCACTCACTCACTCACTCACTCACTCACTCACTCACTCACTCACTCACTCACTCACTCACTCTCTCCCACTCACACTCACACTCCTCACCCTCACACCCACTCACTCTCCCACTCGCAGACTCTCACTCGCTCTCACTCACACTTGCACTCACACTCACACGCACACTCACTCACCCACACTCCCTCTCACACTCACTCTCACTCTCACACCCTCACTCTCACCCACATTCACTCTCACTCACACTCGCACTCACACTCGCACTCACACTCACTCTCCCACTCTCACTCACACTCGCACTCCCTCTCACCCACACTCACTTACACCCACCTTCACTTCATCACCACCATCACCTCTCTGGACCCCAATGCGTGTAGATCTCTAGACTTTCTGCTTACAGACCTCACACACACTGTTTGGGCTGTTTGGGGTCTTTTGCCGGGATAATTTTTGGTGAGTTTCAGCCGTTGTGGTGATGGATCCTGCCTGGTGATCATGCCAGTGGTCATATACTTGTCTCCAAGATTATATAAGCTATGCATGTCTCAGTATAAACGTTTACAGAGTGGTGGCAGAGCGGTGGCAAAAAACAGTTGTGGTGTTCGTTTTCAGGAAGAGTTCAAATTTGCAAGATGATAAAGCTGAAATAGCGAAGCCTTTTTACGGAGATTCATCGTTTGAATGGTTTGAGGAAACACATGCGAAACACATCTTCAGAAACTATGAACAGCACAGGAAGAGCGCGGCTCAACGAAAACACGCATCTTGAATTCCAGTGTGGCCTACGACCGCAAAGGGTAGAGGAAATTCAGCTGCGAAGGTTGCGGGATGACTTTCATAATAATCAACTGAGACTTGACCTTCGTGTTCGTTCGTGTTTGAGGGAAGTGCAGCGATGTTTCGGATGTTGGCACAACTTTTTTCCGCTTTATGTTCAGAAAACAGAAAACAATCCCAACCGGAAGTGCAAAGTTTGGCCGTAAGGGCCTTAAATTCAAGCACAACACGAATGTATTGCAATTTTTTGAGCTGAATGGATATGATCAATTTTTTGCAGTGATGCATGAAACAACATCAAAAACAACATGTGGAATGATCGAATCAAATCGGGACCAAGCAGCCACGTACAAATTGATGGCCAACAAAGAGAAAGTACACCTTTGAACAACCTTGTTGGCACACGTGACCCGCACACTTGAAACCCAACCTCTGTACAAGGGGTGTTTCAAAGCGATGGCCTCCAACCTACTAGGGATGGCCTCCAACCTAAGAGCGATGGCCTCTAACCCAATAGCGTGTTTCTTCTTCAAGATGTCAACAATCTCTTTGTGCCTAGTCAAGGCCAGCTGCAGCCATGGGGTTGCTTTGCTGGATGGTTTGGAATATGTCGGATCCGGTTAAGTTAAGACAGAATATCAAAAGGCTTGGTTTCAGGATGAACGACTTGAATATTTTTGCAAAGCAATATGCTGGCACTTTATACATCATGAAGGTTTACAAAGAATATTGTCTTCGTTATCAAGCAAATGGTCAGCGATTAATCTTTCACCAGTTCTTTCACCTTGTTGTGGAGGTGATGAACAATAGATATGTTGTGACAGAGCAGGAGGCAACAGTCTTGTCCTTCTATGCACTGTACTAGTACTACTTGTTTGATTGCATGGACAATCTTGCAGCAATGCGCCAACTTTCCAGCCACAATACCAGACCAGCATACCTGCCAAAACCCCTCAGGTTTAGGCGACAGCACCAGCTCGCAATGCACAGGTACTAGCGAAAACGATATCTTTTCTATTTTTAGCCCAAAGTTGCACACACCATGTTTCTAGCATTTGAAAGAAAAAACCGGTAACAATTCGCACCCAAAGCGCTGTGAACTCCCGCGACATCGCGACCAAACAGATTGCTGCAGCTAGCAGCAAGTTTGCCAGTCGTCAGAACGGCTTGGCTGCCCACGGCAACAAATCTACTGGCCAACCACCTGAAATTGTTTTGGAAGACTCTTCCAGCTGCTGAGTGGCGAATCCAGGGAACTTGTGGGCAGCTTAACGTGCTAGTGTGGCAATTGCAAGGCAACAAAAGGGAACGCAAGCCATGCAACAGCCCATGTTCACTTCTTTTTTTGATCTTCGAGCTGCCCAGTTCTTGACTTGCGTTACAGAATGCATTAGCAGGGCTTGTTTGCATTGTATGTCAAAGCTTGGTTGGTTTGTTTGAAGACTCAGGTGCGGCGCTGGCGGTCTTTGGAGCGGAGACGTTCTGCAGATCGCAGGCTGAGACCAGTGCTTTGGGACGGCCGCCCTGCGGGCCCCTATTTGACTGACCTCCGAGTTAGGCGAAGCAGGGATCGTGAAGATCGGGGCCGTCGCAAGAAAAAGGAAAAACTTGAGGCCGCTGGCTCATGGGTCACACACACAATACGTTTGAGACTTGATTCACTTTCAAGGAATAGGTTGCTGTGTTTTGATAAAGTTCTTCTACAGTAAGGACTCTGGTTCAGAGGTTGGCGCCCCAGTGTCCTCAGATTGAACTGACCGCTAATAGCTTGGCTGGTTGATTGTTGAGGAGAAGAATGCAAAAGCAAACAAGAATGACGACAAGATAAGTAAGAAGGACACTGCTGATTCTGGCGGCTATAAAGTATATACATGGACTGAAGCTGCGGGCTGCGGGTCTTGGAATGTTTGCAGGATAGCAATTTCGACAAAGAAGTCATCGATGTCAGAGCCAGTACGGACAAGGACTCATATAGGTTTGTTTCATCTCCCAGCCCCTGAAAGGAAGCAGACTACTGAGCCGCAGGATGAAACTGTTGCTGTGAGCAACGGGAACATGACGAGCAGGCCCTCGAAGTTTAGCCCTATAGAGGCCGGTTCGCAGCTGAGACGGCTGGATCAAGGAGCCTTCAATGCAATTTCTTGCTCAGGCACACCAAGTCCCTTTGACAAATCCATATCCAAAGGGATCAACTGAAGTGGAGCACTCAGGAGTGAAGTTGATATGGAGTCGTTTATACTCCAATTATCCTCAACATTTTTCAACTAGCCTTTGGTTGGTCTGTTTCCTCTTTCTACAGAAAATTCACTAATAACCGACATCATGATCTTGACTGACATTATTTACATATACAACCTTTTGGGATGTAGTCATATTGGCTTTTATTTTTAGGTTCCTGCGTGTTTTTGTGTCTCTTTGTTTTTTGCGGGCCTGCTCATACAAGCAAGTTGGATGCAGCAAACAGTCAATTAACAACTTCATGTTGAGATGTGCGATTTTCATGCGACACTTGGCCATCTCTATTATGAAAGCCAGGCAATTGGCAAGGCTGAAGTAGTTTCTGCGAGCGAAGTTAGTATTTAGGGGTGTGGTCGGGGCAGACACGGTCGGTTGTGTTTTCTATTTTCTGGTGACTTGGTGCAGAAAGATGGAAGCGGCATCACTTGCATCAGCAAGCCATTTGTGGATGACCACAAAACTTGGAGAGGACAAGTTGACAAAGCAACCTCACAAAGGAGGTATGAAAGCCAGTAGAATAGAGTATGCAGGTCCAGGTTGCAAGGAGGGGCAGTTGGCACTTGACAAAGTACGAATACGAAAGGAAAACCCACCTTGAAGAAACCACCGGACTACGAAGCATAAAGAGAGGGCTTGCTGGCGCCCTCAGAAATTTTTGTCAAGAGCCCACTAGGCTAGATCTGTCAAACAGTTCTGCATGGTGTAGGGGGGCGTGCCAGTTTGCCCAGCTTGTCATGCTTGTGCGGGACCTCGCTGCTGCTGGTTTGCTGCTGGTGTTCCTGCACTGGTCAAGTTGGAGTGTGGGACCCTGCAAAATGATCGCCGCAGCTCAAGTGCCTGCAAATGTTGCCTGGTGCAGGTCAAGTGCAGGTCATATTTTTAGCATTTTACTACAGAATCGTGAATCACAGCGACGCTGTCCCTGGAAAGGGAAGCACTTTGGAAGAACCCAGCCTGTCTCTACCGTTCCGCACCGGGAACAAATGCGCCTTGGGCTTGCAACCTGTGATGAAAGGGAATGCTCGGAACGAAAAGCGAGCCTTGCCAAGAGAAAGGTTGGGAGTACAGTTGGTTAACACTACAGTACAAGACATCGCAGTCCACTCCAGTCAGACTTGTTTAAGTATTGAGTAAATTTAAAGTTCACGCGCTGTTTGATTGCCCTCAACATGGAACCCTTGATCAGATTTTAAGTGCAAGAAGTGGCTGGAGGTGAAACGCGAGTGCTGCCGCAGTTTCCACCAGCCAATCGATTGGGATCGTGGGTGTGGGCATTTTTTTGACGCTGCCTGTCATCGCGTGACTTGGTACGAGCGTCGTGTCGCGATTCCCTTGCCAGATCGCTTGGCGGAGTGAGTGGCGTTACCGTTGACCGTTGACAGCATGCCATGCCATGGTGGTTGAGGAATCTGGGATGTCCCCGGAAGGGTGAGACTTGTATGAGGGACGATGGAAACGATCCTCATGCCCGGCAAGATGCCCGCTGATCTTGATCTTACGTCCGCCGTTCCACCATGTCGCCAGCCCTATACTGCCAGATCACGCAAGGGTTGGTGTCCAGTTTGTCGGGCCAGGTTTGCGTCGCGCAGACAGGCCAGGTACCATCGTTTGCAAGCTTCCCTCCTAAGCAAGCTTTGGCATTTGGCGAACTGCAAGAAGGGCCTGCAAGGTTCCTGCATCTGTGGTCATGCGCGCGCTGTCCCAAAGGCAGGTCATCAAGTCGGAAGTTGCGGATAGCCCCTGCAAAGGTTGGCGTGCTATAGCGGCATGACAGGTGCGCGGGCATACTTACGTTGACGTGCGCCAGAGTCAGGCTCAAGGATGGGGCTAGAATGAAAAAGGCTGACATACGGTTGGTGGACAGAATCCTGCACCAGTGGAAGAACAAACCATGTATACCCTCGTGCTCCCTGTTTAACATTGAGTTGAGGAAGCATGCGAAACACAAAAAAGTTGAATGGCCAAAATCCTGCATCTGGCCGTTTTTGTGGCGGCCCACCGAAGCTGAATTAACAGACGGTCAATGATTTGTGATGGCTGGACCAAAACGTTGCCCCACCAGGGCGGAGAAAACAAAAGGGGGTTCAGTTTGAGGCTGGTGCGCCGAGAGGTAGTTTTGGAAAATCAATTTGTGGCTGTGCTTGTTCTTACACAACCTCGTGGTATTGTATTTTGTCAACTGCCCTTTGCCCTGCGCCTGTAACTTTGACCACTGGCTTTTGGTTCTCCCTTCTCAAGTTGGAAACTTCGTTCTGAACCATTTTTCGTCATTGTCCCCATTGCACGCAGGCATGCTCTGCTGTGGAATTGTGGAGGGTGTGGACAGCCTTGCCCAAAATTACCTCAAACGGACCGCTACGCCGCTACGCAACCAAACCAACTGATGTTGGCTGGAATGCCTCCTGTTCTTTCCTATACTTCGCCCTGTTTGTTTGAGTTGATTTCCCATGGTACACGTTTCCCAATTGGATCTGTTGTTTTGGACAACTGTCAAGTCGTGAAGAGATTCCACACACATGAGCCCACGGTCACTCAGACACTTTCCCGCTGGTCGCCGGATCTCGGCGCAAGACCCCACTTTTAAGGTGAAAAGGTTGCGCCCGCGCCATTTCATGGTAGCGGAGCGCTGGCCGTACTGAGCCGCGCTTCCGCATACGACACGCACTACGAGCGCCACGAGCTCCACGCCCCGGTGGACCACGACGGCAGTTTCAGGGAAAGGCCGGAGAGCCAGGCCCTCTGCAACTGGGATTTGGTTGGTGGAGCTGATCGCGCTCGCAGGACTTGCAGGCGGTGTCGGTACCACAGCGATCCAGGAGATCAACTACTTCCAGGCGAACCGTGTGATTCCAAAAGCTGGAAAGCTCAAGAGGAGGCAATTCCACACGGTCACCTTCGAGACTGCTGAGTACCTCACTAGAGTTCGGTGGGTGAAGAGTGACAAAGCAGCAAGAGCCTCAATTGTCTTCCAGAAGCGGAGGAACGGAAGGTTGAGCGCCGACTTGAAGGAAATTCTGGTGGTAGTTCCATCGAAGTGGAAGTTCATCTCAAAGATCGAGCATCTGAGGCAAGAGACGCCCCAGGAGAAGATCTGTGAGCTTTTGTCGAATTGGTGTTTCTGGGAGTTGCTGGTCTATAGTGGACTGGAGTTCAGCCCGGAGGAGAGCATTGAGCCCTCTTGCGCCACAAAGTCGTATTATCCAAAGATTTGGACAATCGGTCCGATGGCTGAGGAGAGCTTGAGGCTGGTTGCAAATGCACTGGAGCGGTTGACGGTCAATCAGACCACACAAGGTTGGGCACGACATCTCAAACCTCCTGATGTGTTTAAGCCGGATTCACGTGACAATGAGCTGAAGTTGTGGGGTGATTGGAAGTTTGCATTTCTCAACTACATCAAAGGGATTGACCCCAACATGGCAAATGACATGGACCAGGTTGAGAGGGACCTTGATGCCAGCTACGAGCTGGATGACATGACAGATGAAACAAAAGGGAGATCAGTTCGGCTGTACAGTTTGCTGACATCCTATTTGCGGCAAAGGCCTTTGAAGCTGATCAGGCGCGTCAAGAGAGAGAATGGCTTTGCAGCTTGGCAGATCCTACGGGAGCTTCAACCTGCGACAAGAGCTAGGTCCTTGGCCTTGTTGAGCCAACTCTCGCGAGTGCAATTCGCTGAAGGAAAGACGGTGGCAGAACAGCTACCGCAATATGAGTCCCTGATCAACGAGTATGAGCGCATCTCAGGCCATGCCTACAATGCCTACAGTGATGATGCAAAGGTGGCTGCAGTGCTATTGGCATGTCCGATGCAAATCAGACAGCACTTGCACTTGTGGATCACCAACACCACAACGTATGAGCAGTTGAAGGACAGGATCGTTCAGCTGGAAGCAATATCGACAAGATGGGACAGCTCTAATTCCTTGATGTTGCCCACTCGTGCTGCAAGTGATGAGGCCACACCCATGGAGGTCGACTACATTGGCAAGGCATGGGACAAAGGTTGCAAGAAAGGCGGCAAGTTCAAAGGCAAGGATGCTAAAGGGAAGAACAAGGGCAAAGAGAAAGGAAAGCAGAAAGACGGCAAAGGAGCATGGAGGCCTGAGAAGGGAAAGACGCTATGGGAGAAAGGACCTGGAAAGAAAGGCAAAGCGAGTGACAAAGGAAGCAAAGGTGGCAAGAGCAACAAATGCCCCAACTGCGGCATCCCTGGACACTTTGCCAAAGACTGTTGGAAGAGGGTGAATCAGATAGAAGACCAACAGCAGAATCCAGGAGGTGCAAGTTCTTCATCAACAGGAGGCCCAACAACAGCTCAGGGTTCAGCAGCCGGCAACACAGCCAATGTCAAGATGGTCCGCTTGGAAACACCTCCAGGCACCCCATCCATGGAATTGTTCGATTTGACGACTCCAAGGGATGATAGAAGTGGATATGCTTGGAGAGTTGGAATGATTTGGTGTGATCACCAAGTCGACAACTATGAGGTCACCGATGACGAGTACATGGATTGCTATGAGCCCATGGTGGAAGTGCCACTTGGAGTGAGCATTGTAGCACTGGACTTGCAGGATAGCGAAGAGGAGGAGCTGCAAGTCAACATGGTGAAGATTGAGGAGGAGTCAGACCAATGTCTAGTGACTCTGGACAGTGGAGCTGATGTGTCAGTACTTCCCCAAAGCTATGCATCCGTGGGCCAACGACAGCAGGAGTCCACGGACCTCAAGATGGTGGATGCTCAGGGGAAGAAGATTGCCCATGATGGAGTGACAAAAGCCCGCACTCGAATCGAAGACAAGAATGGCAAGATCTTCGAACTGCTCGAGGACTTTGTGCTGGGAAACGTCCAACATCCGATATTATGTGCTGGAAAGTTGCTGCGCAGAGGATGGAGTTTGCAGAAGGCAGATGGAGGACCTTTAGAGCTGAGACATGAAGAGAAGGGCATTGAAGTGCCAGTGAACACAGAGCGCAACTCTTTGCAACTGGCAGCAAGGATTTTCACAGTGACAGGAGTTTCATCCACAACGAGCCCAATGCGATCTACTCCGAGCCCTACTGCCAGGATCTTTGCGCTGACAGGATTTGTGAGCAAGTATGTGCAAGAGCTTGAGATGGCTCCAGGCTACCCAATGGAGTGGTTGTCTACAGCGACCCCATTGCGCTTCGCCTCGCAGATCCCAAGGACAGCATTGAGAGGCCTACAAGTCAAGGATGACTTTGGTGAAAGAGAAGAACGGCCAATGGACACAATTGGAGAAGGTCGATGACATCAATGCTGAGGATCTGAGATGTTCAGGAAGATTGGCATCAACGATGAGCCACAGAGGACACTGAGTTTCTTTGCGCCAAGCAGGTTCAAAGACTATTGGGAGCATGACTCAGAGGTTCCCATTTCTCCATTCCCTGAGCCCGAGGATGTGATCCACACTGTTGAATGGTCTGAAGATGATGCAGAGGAGATCGAGGATCTGGAGCAACAGGTGGAGAATCAAGACATTGAGAAACTTGTCATCGCGAAGCGTCCTCATGAGGTGGAACTGGATGAAACAATGTTTTCAGAGAAGACTTCAGTGAAAGACCTTCAGGTGGCATGCAAGGAGAGAAACCTGCCGTACACTGGAAGCAAAAAGAGACTCCTTGAGAGGCTGATGAGCTTCAAAATCAACATTGAGACACAAATGCAGTTGTCCATTGCAAACAAGATCTACAAGGAGCAACAGAGGGTTCCAGTGACCATTGGACAACCGAAGCTTCCAAGTTTGGCAGAACAAGAGAGACACTTCATCACGCACATGCCCTACGCTGGATGGTGTCAAGCTTGCGTGGCAAGTCGAGCTAAGGAGGACAAGCATGTGAACAGAGAAGAGCAGGAGGACCAGGGCAAGAATTTGATCCAGATGGACTTCTGCTACACCTACACTGGAGAGGACCAGCGAGGTGATGAGCCCATGTTGGGAAAAGTCCAGGAAAGGCAAGACCAGTTTGGCACGTGCTTGATCCTGACAAGCTCAGAAACAAAAGCCATCCATGCAGTTCCGGCCCCTTCCAAGGGAACAGCTAGCCTCAAGACGATCACTGAGGAGGTCGCCAGATTTGCTCTGGAAAACTCAGCATTTGACCCTGTGATCTTCCAGGCTGACCCAGAGAGAGCCACACGTCAGATCCTGAGATCTGTGCAACAAGTTCGAAGCGTGATGGGCCTGAAGACGGAAATCCGGGTGACAGGAACTGGGCAGCACGCATTAAATGGACAGGTGGAGCGAGCAGTGCAAACAGTGAGGAAGCTCGCCAACTGCCTGAGGACCTTTGCAGAAGATCGAGCTCGCATGAGGATCTTGGGTTCATTTCACTTGTATCCATGGAGCTTCAGGTATGCCTCGTTTCTGCTGAACAGGTTTAGAGTCTTGGAGAAGTGCAACAAGACAAGCTTCGAGCTGGCAACAGGCCATGGGTACCATGGCAAACTTGCTTTGTTTGGCGAAAGCGTTCTCTTCAAGTACAAAAGGGAACAACGTGTTCGAGCGAGGCATCTGGGCAGGAAAGCACCCATGGAATGACAGCCATGTGATCCTGACTCCTGACGGAGCATTTGAGGCACGCGCAATCCGCAGATTGGCAGCTGGTGAAAACTTCATTGCCACGGACATGGTGATAGCAAAAGGACTACCATGGTCGTATTCTCCGCAGGGCATTCTCATGAGGCACGCTGGTGACGCACAGAGGACGAGAATCCCCACCTTAGAAGTTGAAGCAGAGGAGAGCGAGATGAAGGAGATTGCAACCGACGTGGCATCAGGTCTGATTGGACCCACACCTGGTCTGAGGACACCAGCGCCAAGGACGCCAGGAGTTGGACAAGCGGCCCCTGGAACACCAGCACCGGGCACTCCAGCACCTCAAGTTCCACAAGCCGGAGTGAAGAGGACATTGGAAGAAGGTGAAGATGAGCAAGAAGCAAAGAGAATCGACGACAGCGCTTCACCAAGAAGGACGCATGAGAAAAGAGAGGCGCAAGCACATGAAGGAAGTGAGGAGCAGGAGAAGAAGCAGAAGGTTGATGACTCCTCACTGGATGTGCGCATGCCGGAGAGTTCGCCACGAGGATCGCCCTCCAACAGGGAACACCTCTATCCACCAGGGTATGCAGGTGTCAATGCGTCCCACTCATCCCTGGTGAAGTTGAGGAGGAATTCATCTATGGGGGCGAAGAAGATGATGATCCGCCAGTGGTGACAGAAGAGAAATTAGCAGAACTGGACAAGCAGGCCCGAGAGAAGGAGATCCAGAGGATGGTGGAAATGCCGGCCATGATCGAGACAGACGAAGATGAGGTCACGAGGACCGAGGGTTACATCATTTCCACAAAGGAAGTGTACTGTTGGAAACATCGTTTGGAGATGGGAGGATGGTTTAGGCGAGCACGCCTAGTGGCAAGACAATTCAGGTCTTCCATAGACCTTGAACAGACGTTCGCTCCCACGTCGATGATGATGGTGCCAAAGCTCTTGATCCACTTGGTCGTGAACGTCTTCACGAACTTCAAGGCCATGACGTTGGATATCAAAGACGCTTTCCTTATGGCACCGCAACCAGCAGATGAAGTTGCCTTCGTGAGAGTGGACGGGAGAATCTTTCGACTTCTCCGATGCCTTCCAGGACAAAGGACTGCTGCATCTCAATGGGAGCATGCATGGACTTCGGGATGAGTCAAGATGCCATGCAACCGACTTTGATGATGATGCCAGGGCAACTGTACCTGACGGTACACGTTGATGATGTCTTCATGGTTGGAACAGAAGAGAAGCTGCAACAGTTCGTGAACTACCTGAAGAAGGAGAAAGAATGGACAGTTGAAGAGAAGGGTCCATTCCCACCAGGAAGCAAGTTCCACTATTTGAAGCGACAATTTGACTGGTGGAAAAGGAGTTGCGCGATTCGTTGTGACCACAAGCAGTATGACAATCTGGAGAAAGATGTACCTGCAGTGCACAGCAGATTCTACAAGAAGACTCCGATGAGCTCAGACTTTGGCAAGAAGGATGAAAGCCCAGAGTTGGAAGGTGAGGCCATCACAAAGTACAGAAGCATAGTTGGCAAGCTGATGTACATCTCCGGAGAACGACCAGATGCACAACATGCAATTCAATGTCTGGCCAGGAGCATGTCAAAACCCACGGAGATGGCGAAGAAGAATGCCGAACATGTGGTCTCCTACCTCTTTGGCACCAGTGGCTATGGAGTGATGATGGACTCGCGAAAGCGAGGACAGTCCGTGATGGACGTGAGGCCAGAGGAGGAAGCCATTGAAGCGGCAGAACACCTCATTGAAGCGGTGACAGATGCTGACTACGCAGGGAACAAAAATGATCGGAGATCGACGAGTTCCTTCCAAATCTTTGTGGATGGAAACCTGGTTGAATCCAGGGTGAGGGCGCAGAAGGCAATCGCTCTCAGCTCTGGAGAGTCAGAGTTTGTGGCCATTGTTGCAGGATGTTCAGAAGGTCTGCTGGTGAGGCATTTGTGGAACAAGTTGACCGGACGATCATGCGCGATGAAGGCAAGATCTGATAGCTCGGCAGCGAGGTCGATGATGCAGAGACAGGGGATTGGCAGGGTGCGTCACCTTGACGCATCATTGCTTTGGATCCAGCAAAAGGAGAAGGAGAAAGTTCTGTCGGTGTCTCCAATCCCGACGGATTTGAACTGTGCGGATATCGGGACCAAGAACTTGGCCAAGAAGAGGTTGCTTGGACTGTTGTATATGCTGAAGATGGTGAATGCAGTGTACGACAGGATTGGAGAAGAGGAGTATGAGGAGATCGAGCGCACCTACCAGATCAAGCAGAGCCACAAGCAGATTGGCAACAAGAAGGCTTTGACGGTATGCCTACTTCTGCTGCTGGCGAACATCGAGAAGGCTTCAGGAGCTTCGACAGAGACCCATGCAGGAGAGAGCCATTTTGGCTGGTCGTGGATGGTCTTCTGCATGTGCGCACTCTTGGGGGTCTTGAGCATTTGCGCTTGGCTTCGGGATTTCATCATTGTGTTTGTGAAGGGTGGCGTCGCCCATTTGATGGACATTGAGAAGGTCACGATTCAGAACACGGAGAATGAAGTGAGAATGATCCTAGAACGGAAGGATCAGGCAACACAGGCGACATGCCTTGAGGACAGCAGCTTGCAGAAGAAGATGGATGAAGAGGTGGCTGAGATGCAAGCTGAATATGTGAAACAGGACATGTACATCGAGCAACTCGAAGAGAAAGTCAGAGAGCTGAAGGAACACGCAGCTGAGAACTTTCAGATGTACGAGTTGGAGAGTCGACATGCCCGAAAGCTGATGACTCAGATGACCAACCTGCGGAAGACCCCAAAGGGGCAAGTGGTTCACTTTTCCTCGAGGTGCCACCATTACAGCGAAGGCACAAAACTCGACCTATGCAGGAGGTGCCTGAGTGATGGGGGCGTGTCAAGTCGTGAAGAGATTCCACACACATGAGCCCACGGTCACTCAGACACTTTCCCGCTGGTCGCCGGATCTCGGCACAAGACCCCACTTTTAAGGTGAAAAGGTTGCGCCAGCGCCATTTCAACAACAATATATAATAACCACTCCGAATTGCTGATGTAGCTCCTGACTCCAACAGTTCTCCACATTGTGGCCGCATTTCTAGTTTCGAACATTGCATGAGGTCCTGTGCTTCCTGTATTCCTGATTTCTTCCTTTTACCAAGTTGCAACTCTTGCGCAAACAACTGCGCCCTATTGTCACCTTGCCTGAACTATATAGCTGATATGCAACCAACAATTGGTCGGTCCGTAGGAGTTCGCTGTTGTCATGATATTTCTTGTGCTGAACGGAGAAGCTATTCGGATAAACAAGATGAAAACAAGGAACGTACCAGTTTTGTGACTTTCAGGCGCTCCGACTGGACGCTGCTCGATTGGAGGTTGTGGGGGCTCAATATTGACAAATTTAATCAGCACAAATTAATGTCCAAACTTTCAAGGCAAGGCTACGGGCCATGGGCAAAATGCCACCACCACATCTGATGAAAGAGGCCTCTATGCAGCACCGGGTTACGCTGCCACGCATTTGATGCTCATTTCTTGGTTGCAGGTGGCCGCAGGAGCCAAAGCAGCTGCAATAGGGCCAAATACAGTGCCATGGCTCATCTGGCAGCGTTTGAGAAGTAATTAGATTTAGATTTGGATCTTTCATTTAGGTTCAGCCCAAGCCAAAGAAGGCTGCGCCTTTTTCTTAGCGGTTCAGAGGTCTCTTAAGATGGAGCAATGCAGACAAAGAGTCGGAATTCAGAAGTAAATAAGGCCAGCTCCATGGATGGCCGCCCGTGCAGTCTTCGGGAAGGCCCATCCAGTGCTTTCTGTGCAAACACAGCTCTAGTCTCACAACATGCTCCTTGACAATTACATATGGATACAATAGTATAATATATATGTGTGCACAGTAGAGCTTCTTGACATTTTCTCAGGATGGTGATGCAACAAAAGCGTCGGAACCAGCTGCGGCCTGTGATGATAAGACAAACGGTTAATACGATCAGAAAGAGCGAACAAGGCAACACCGACGAGCGATGCAAAGGAAAGCTGAAGCCTCAACAACTCTGAGTGGTGAGAATGGTCTTAGCCAAGAGAGCGATGGGTCCTGTCCGGTCCGGGGATTCTTATCCCAAGGTTTTATGTCCTTCTCTATTTTTTTAAAACATATATCGATATTTTGCATACTTTTATAATCTTTAATCACCACTGTTCCTGCTTCTCGCAAAATTCCTGCCAAAGTGCGTAAGGTGCCAAGAACATCAAAAAGCTTGGGACAACGGAGTTGTCAGAGTGCGGGCCCACAACACTTGAAGACTTGTATTCTAGCGATACTATAGCCAGCTCCATTATGACGACGTTCGAGTTGTTCAAGCTAACTTGTCTAAATTGACCTGTATCATTTTAGAATCGATTTTGTTCTCATTTGTTGGCGGACTGTCGCACATTGCAAGTGTTGCTAGGTGGCTTTGGTTCCAGATAGTAGGGGTGAAGACACTGTTACTAATGACATTTTTAGTCCTCGTAAGGACTAACTTGGGTCAGGTCTGAAACAGGCTGCAGGGCTTCAGATGACAGATGGACTCCACGTTTTTCTATTCATAACTTTCCGCCCGGATCGCTAACAAAGTTCCACATTTTGCATCTGGGTACAAGTTGCAGGCTCTCCAAGAGCATCGCAGAAGAGCGCAAGAAGCTTCGCCTTTTCGTTGTAAAGGACTGGCACACCACTTAGTTTGGTTTGATCTTGTATGACACGGCAAATTGAAAGGCCAAAGCTGACTTTGAAGACCGGAAGGAAAAGGCGCCGCTTTGTTTTGTAGTCATGCCTGTCAAGGGTGCAGGATGATGCACTCTCAGATGGATGAAGACAACTCACAACCCTGATTCCAGTAGGTGAGTCATGGTCATTGGATTGAGGTGAAGGCCATGCATTTGATGTTTTGGTGAAGGCCAAAGCCATGCATCAGACTATTCAAATGGGTGAGACTGATGAGAACGAGTGACCTTCTGGGATTTCTTAGCTATGCTGATTGACTGTGTCTTGCCTTTCCTTTTCCTTCGCTGAATACATTGCGTAGGTACTATTCTGCATCGGTCGGTGAAGAAATGGCGAGTCGATATAGGGTTGAGGCAGAACTCAGCACCATCGATGTGTTGCTGCACCACTGCTGCATTGGTACATATTTGCAAGAATTTGTTTGCAAGGTGGCTATTGGTCGGGGTGTTTTCTCCAGCGTCTATCATTGCAAGGGCTTGAAGGACCTTGTGAACCAGAAGGCATGCCGTGTCGGTCATTCAGTATGCTGACGCAAGGATAGCAAGGACTATGCGATCAAGCTGATTCGGGCCAATGCAATGATGAGGCGATGTGCTGACAAGGAGGCGCCTGCAGAAGCCGATAGCGCACGAGACGGCTAGAGACGGCTAGCGGCTATTGAATGTGAAGCTTTCAAGTGATGCAAGAGAGGCATTGGTTTCACAGTTTCACATAGCCATTGGAGGTTGAAATGTACAAACGTTTGGAGAAGGTTGCTGGGGAAGACCCAGAGGACTGAACTGTGCACGATTTGCAAAGCGCAAACTAGAAAGCTGCCAAGAACGCCAACAGCCGTGGGGTCAGGGGTTCAAGCACATCATCATCCTGGCTGATATTCAAACCTTCGAGCACAGCGGACACTTGAGCCAATTGCCAAGCTTCTGTAAGTTTTTGATGTATTTTCTTTATATATACAATGCTGCATGCATTTGTAGAGATGCCCCTGCTGGACAAAACCTAATTTGTTCATAAGGCCTAGTTTTTGACCTTCTGAAGTGCGACATGCGCTTTGCTCTCCAGAAGTGACCTGGCCATCGTTGCATCTCAAGCCTGTACTGCTCCTTTCTTTGCCTCGAGGATAATTACAACAAACAAGAGTCAGAGTGCTTCTGCAAAGTCAAGGATTTTTTAAGTACCCCCTTACTGCAAGCATACAATTTGTGCTTTGGCATTTGAACACCCTCTGAAAGGTACGGGATGGGTGGAGGTCTTCCACTCCCAACCTTGCAGCAGTATGTGAGGTAGGGGGAAATTGGATGAAAGCCGACAGCAAATAAGAATCCCAAAGGAACAAGGTTGCATAAACGCAAGGAACGCATCTGATTTTGGGTCCAGCTTTCCTGTGAAAGGCAAATCTTCCTTGGTCTCCGGGCTTTGCGAATTGCCAAGGTAGGCTTGACAGTGTTGGTGACACAGACAGACAGATTGTGCCCTGGATCCAAGCAGATGTGCAGGTCATGCATGCAGACCTAAAGCCCGACAATCTGTTGATGACCTTGAGCAAGGCGAGCAACCGTGTTTAAGAGGAAGATAGATAGATAGACAGAGAGATAGATAGATAGATAGATAGATAGATAGATAGATAGATAGATCGATGGATGGATGGATGGATGGATGGATGGATAGATAGATAGATAGATAGATAGATAAATAGACACATAGATGTATGTATCACGGTGCTGCTGGCATTTAGCCGACGACGGACAATTTCTTCAGGCCGAAGTTAAGATTTGTGACTTTGGGAGTGCCATGGATGCATCGGAGCAGGTCAAGACAGCGTGCGAAGCTTGGTCATGTGCATTCAGTGAGAAGCTGTACATACTTGGAAGGCGTATAGCGACATACGTCATACATTGAGCTAAAGTGTTCCTTTTGGAGCTATACTTTGTAACTTGTAGATGCTGCCCTGAGTCCGGCCATGGATAAAATGCATAGGACTAGGACCGAAGTCTGTCAGTAGATGGGCTCACTTGGACTCGGTTCAGTTGACTGCCTTCACTGCATGGGCTTCGTCGCCAGGTACTTGCAGCCACGATACTACCGTGCGCCGGAGATCATGCTTGGAGTTCCCTATGACATGGGCATCGATATGTGGAGCGCAGGCACCAGGGCCGTCAGTGGCTTGGATTGTTTGGGCAACTCCAGAGTAGCTGAACAAACTGAGTAATACGTTTCATACAAAATCTTTCATTACGTATTCTATCAGAATCTTTCATTACATATTTAGTACAACGGTCTTTGTGGAGTGAGAAGTTGGCCAGCTGATCGCCCGGGAGGCACCACAGTCTTCGAGTTGTCGACCGGAAAGATTCTTTTCACAGGCAAAACCAACAACCAGATGGCTTGGTCCTCGTTGTTTGCATTGTTAGTGCCAGACTTGTACTGTAATGTTTTCTCGGACATGGTCGGCCTAGATGGGCAAGATGATCTCTGTGGTCGGGAAGTTTCCAGAGAGGATGTGGAAGGTTGGTGAATTCGCCAGGAGACTGGACGCATTGAAACGATATCAAGTGTTTTGAAGAGCTCCGGGGTGGAGACTCCAAATTTGCAGGAAACACTTCAATGAAAATGGAGACTTCATCAGCCAGGCGTGACGTGGAATCTGGGAGACACATCACACAGTTAGCGGTCGTGCCTTGAGAGAACCGAAGGCTGCACTACCTGTCACTACCGCCCACACCGAAGTATGGTTTGAGGAAGTGGCTCATCCCTACGAAAGGCCCCAGGTAAATAGAGACCTTTTCTGTCCTTTTCACTCTCAAAACCATTTTTGCCTTGGCAAATGTTTGATTTCCTTTTCTCAATGCCGCTGTGTGTTCAATCAATCATCGAAAGCAGCTACGTCAGGTGCTATCCGAATACAAAAACAGAACGGAATAGGATGAATATGCGCTTCATATACGAAAGCCAAGTAGGAAATCTGATGGTGTCTCTATAGTTTTAGAAAGTTGGTTAGTGCAGACGATGCTAGTTTTAATTCTGCCGGCATCATTTGCATCAGCAAGGTGGATATAGAACAACTCAAAGAGACTTGAAATCAAACCTGAAGGAGCGAAAGCCAGTAGAATGAAGCATGCAGGTCCTGGTTGTAAGGTAAGAGTAAGAGTCTAAACTGCGACCAAAGCCTGCGAGAACGTTGCCTGAAGTGATCCACACATATGCCCCGAGACCAATTTTCCTTCAAGTTTCAGTCCCTTTCATCTCCATCCCACAGCACTTCTTCGACATAGACTCAACCCCACTGGTGATGATGACCCACGAGACAGCCTCATGGTTCAACCATGTCGGGCTGGTTTCTTCTATTCAACAAAAGCAGATATTCGTAAACCTGGAACCTGCACTAGTTGCACTCCTTCTGCATTTCTCCACCACCCCTGGCATTCCATCCAATCAGCCCCATAGCAGAGCGTTTTGCAGCGTTTTGAATCGGTTCAGACGAGAACTCGCAACTGACATAGACAATGCTGTCGCACTGCAAGGACCCTGATTCCATCACTGGACTGCCAGACGTCGTGCAGCTGTCCAAAGCCTGGCATCGTTCTGCTGTCAATGTCATCTAAAAGCACATGAGAGAATCCTCATGGACCACATGGACGTGTTTTGCCCAGGTCAAAGCCCACACGGACGGTTCTAAATTTGCTTCAGGCATGGCCAATACTGCATGGGCACTTGATATGAATTCTCGTGAATCGAACAGCACACTTGTACTTTGCAAGGCAGAGCTCAAGCACCCTAATGCTGGTGTAGAGAAGAAGGACCATGAAAAATGGGTCGTGCAACTGGCAGAACTTGTCGGAGACTTCCTTCACGTTTGACCAGCTGGTCAATGTCGCCAAATGGCTTTTTTCCAAGGTCAGCAAATGCTGCGTGCTGGATCCCCAAGAAAGGCTAAAGCCTGCGGAGGCTCGAGCACAAGACTTCGTTGGAACAAACTTAAGAACGGGCCAGGGCCAGGTTTGTCAAATGGCAGATCTGCATTTTTGCAGGCTCTTGAGTTGGCCTTTTTCAACGCAGAGCGAAATTGAGGCAAGGTTCTGCAAGCGACTGCGAACAGTTGAATTGACTTATATATATATATAACGAACTCAGGTGGTCCTGGATGGTCAACCTTGCCAAGCCCATTATTCTCAGCATCTGAACGACAGATTTGCTGGTGGAGTGCTTATCTCAGCTTTCGGGAAGGGGCCAGCGGATGTGGGGGTTACTGTGTTTCCTTGCTGCTTACGATGCTCAAACCGGGCCAGACCAAGAGTGTGGCACAGTGGGCAGTGCTCAGCAACCCTTCAGTTCAGACATTTCTTTGGATTGATTGCGCTTTGGTCGAAGAGCCGGTTGATTGGTCGCGAACTTCGGGGAGGCGAAAGCAAAGGTCCTTCGAGGAAGCTACTCCCCGCCCATTGGTCACTTCCTTGAACCCTCGATGCAAGAAACGCTTTCCGTAGAACTAATCTTCATTTTGAAGGTCTTTTTCGTCGCTTCCTGGTTCTACTTTTCGGACCCGGTCGCCAGAGCTAGGGCTGACTGCTTGTCATCCTGAAGCACGAGCTGACATCGTTCAACGATGGTGATTGAAGTTGCGAAAGGAGGACGGCAGCTTACATTCTGCTTGCGATGTGTCAGCAGAATCACAATACAGAACACACAGAGTTTGTTAACATTCTGTTTGTCACATTGTTTTAACCGCTTTGACTGGTCAGGGGGCAGTTGCGTTGTGAGCAGTGCAAAAAGTCGACAATATGGCTAATTTGTGGCATGTCTTTGCATTCCCAAATATAGCTCTGGTTCCTGATTGTTTTTTGACACTGCTCATACATGTCTCCCTGCCGTATCGGTCACCAGTCTGTCTTCCCTGGCAACTTTGTCCTCGGGAAGTGGGAATGCTGGCCATGTTTGGCACTTTCGTGCTTCGTCATGCGACTCTGCATCCACTCCACTCTTTTCTTTGTGGACATGGTTGACTTTGAACAAGACATCAAGGATCATCTAGAATCTAAAACACCAAAAAAACACACCGAGATAGTGCTGTTGGCTTCGGAACTGCTTGGCTCACCGGCTCACAGTCCAGGCGCAAGGCCATCTGGCTATGCGCCATGTGACTCGGTGATCTCCGTGGACAGTAAAGGCATTTAGAGCAGCTGAGCTTTCAGTGCCAGGCCGATTGATTTTGAACAACTATAAACCACCAAAATCTAGCATTCATGGAAATGTAGGTAATTTCCCTGGACTTGGGGGAGTTTTGGGTGGGCAATCACTTCTCGCTGCTTCTGTGTGATTGACTACTCTGACCAATCTCAAGGCAGGGTTCGCGGGCTACAAGGCCGGGCACGACGCGTGCCATGGGTTTAAGTCACTTCCCGTCGTTGCTTTGAAGCTAGCTACCACCACTACTCGTACCAGCTAGACTAGACTAACTTGGGCCACATAGCATTCATTGTTGGTGCATGAAGTCATTCGACTGGTTGACTGGTTTGTGAGCAGAAACTCACATCGAGTGCTTGTGTGCAGCCGGAGTTGTTGTGATTGGGGGCATGTGCCCTCAAGTTGCTCATCAAGTGGTTGCGTGCATTGCCTTTCATTTTGTGCGAAGATCCAAAGCTGCGCACATCGAGAACTCTTCAATTGGCAATATGACTTGCAGGCATGTGCTTCGCTCGATCCGACGGTCTTGGGGTAGCCTTGTGTAGGCGCTTTGTTTACCGTTGCATAGTATGCTTAACAAGCCACTGGCAGGCCATTCTAATCTCAAGCATATAGATGATTGAAACCCACAACTGACATTGGTGACAGGAAGCAGGGCACGACACTACTACAGTTTTTTTTACTTGCGAGCTGAGTTGACATCGATGTATATAAGTATTATTATCATTGTCCCAAAACCAAGACAGCAACACATTTCCCAATTCACGTCTTCCTTCGGTTGGAGCTATACCCAGTATTGCTATATAGCTTCCCAATACAAAACTGGATTTGGGCCAGCAACGATCTGTTTGAATTTGGTGGACGCGTTCTGCATTTTGTTTCTGAGAAAGTACCGTGAATGCATTGTGATCCAGGCACAGGTCAAGTCTGCTGCATCCGGGAGCACCTGCTGGTCGAGCAATCTTGTGCTGCCATGAGAGAAGGATCCAGGTATAAGGTATATCGGTATATCAAAACAGTTCAGTTTATTATCCTTGGAAGTTGCAGCAGAGGTAGAGCCAGTTCCAGCAGAATGCTATCAAAAAATACTTCACTAACTTTACAAGTAGCTGGCCCTCCAAGTTCACTGCGGAATTGGCCACCAGTCGTCAACAGGCTTGGAGTTGGACTTCAAGACCAGAGGCATGTGGTGCATTGTTTCATGATTGTAAACAGGCAGTGGTGCAGAATCGGTACAAAAAAGACACGACCAGAAACAGCAGCACATGGTGTGCTGAATCAGCACCCATGTGCAAAAAATTGCCAAGTGCAAACCCTCAGAGGCGCCCATATTGTTTTGTCGTGAACAGTGTGGTCACGGCTCCACAGACCGGATCAAGACAGCACACAGCCATCAGAGCAGAGGGCATTGCCACGCTTTGATCTCGAAGACTCCAAGAAATCTGAAGTTGCCTCTCCTCTCTGTGTTTACGAGCACAACATGGTCTTGTTGTTGGTTAGAGGCCTACGGGTAAAGCGACATTAAAGCGAGTGGGTCACCAAGGTGCTTTTATGTGGTTGCGGCGCTGCAACTCAACTGATGCCAACACTATATATTATATGTATATGGATGTATGTGAATGTGCCTGTTTCAAGCCTAGCAATTGCTTTGATGTATTGCCAGTTTGTGTAGGTAGCAACCATGTGTGAGGAAAGAACTATCCAAAGCCCAAGATGTCTGAAGGAATCCAAGAGGTTGAAATGCTTGAAGCAGCTTCCAGAAATCCAGGATTTCGTTTCACGAATGAACATTGAGAGTAGCACTACATGAGTTGACTCGTTTCCATTGGTGCTTCGGCCAGAGATAGCGACAGCCTCTTGCCGCACACCTAACGGGAGAGATGGTTCCAGATCCTTCGCATGTGATGACAGAATTTGTTCAGATGGAGTCGATCACGTACAGAAGTGATGAACAATTATCTGGAACTTCACATGAATCATAGGGCCATAGGGCTTCGACAAAGAAGTTTCGTAGCCGGTCAACAGGTCAGTGGTTGTTCGTGGAACAACAGTCCTGATCTCGCTGCTTTCTTTCACTTTCTCTGTTGTGCTGTGCCTTACATTTTGCCTCGATTTTTGCTTTCCCCAACTTACTCAAGCTGCTTATAGCGTGAAAGTTGCTGGCAAGTGGGGCATGCCTTGGCGAGCAGAGCGAAAGCGCAGCAGCCCTGGCTTGATTTGCTTGCCGACTTCTAGTTGATGCTTCTAACTTTAATGTATAGACTTGATTAAGACATCAAAGCGACTTGAAGGAACACGGACACCAATCACGCGTGAGCTTCTGAGTTCACTTCGCTGTAGCAATAATGTGTTGTAACCTGGCCCTGGATTGGTATGGATCGGTCTTCTATGCAATGGTTCTGCAAATACATGAGGCACCCAACCCTTGGTTGATCCACTCTACCCTGGTCCGCTTCCATTCGGGCACAATTGAGAGCTTCAACGAGACCAACTGCAACACTATTTGCACCATTGAAACTGGACAAAATGAACTGACAATGTAAGAGATGGCCAGCTTTCGAGTAGCGCCCCCGGAGCCAGCCAAAGACAGATATGATACTTCGTGGCAATCACAAGAACAGCAAGAAAGCAGGGGACTATTCTTGAAATCTTTAGCATAATGTTTCCTTCCTTCAGGAACCTTGTGCTTACTCCCTTTAGTACAAGCAACGAAAGTAAACAACAATGAAAGTGACAGATCAACTGGATCTGGCTTTCTCATTAAGGTGTGTGCCCGGGAAATAGCCCCCATACCATACCATACCACACCATACCATACAGACAGACATACAGACACACATACACGTGCATTTATTCTCAAATGTTCATGCACTTTTGTAGTCCATCAAAGAAAGGCAAATTGTTGTCACTGTCTTTTGCTTCCTAGAAGTAGCTTGAAAACTAACCTTCGAAAGTTTTGACCTCAGTTTGGGTGCTTGTTGCGTCATCTTCCACAAAACTTGCAGTTTCTGGTTTTTCAGGTCACTGTTGGTGGCTGGGCCATGGCTCGTTTGGCGCTAGAATCTTAGCTTGGCATCCGGTTTCTCCAAGACTGATGATGGAGCATAGGATTGTTGAGTGAAGCTCCTGTCTTTCAATGGATGATTGCATCATATTGAATCCATTTGTAGGCACATCTAGAGATTTGTTGTGATTGAGGGGTTAAATGAACATCAGACACCCTGGAATTGCAGCACTGAACTCACCCACGATTGACAGAGATTGCCTCGGATTGCAACAACGTGTGGGGAAGTTCTTCGAATTTCCCCGACATCGAATTTATAAGCGCCGTGGCCCCGCCCTCCTACTTGGTTAAGTAGGCGCCTACTCAATTAAGGAAGGGAGAAGCAAGCTACCAGTAACTGGACGCAGGATAGCGCTCACACAAATCATTTGGATCCTAGATTTTCAGGGAAACTTAAGCTAGACAGTTTACTGTTGTTGTGTGGGTTTTCACCTTAAACACTTTCTTGAAGCTTCGCACAGCAGTGTTGCATTGAAGATGCGGATATTGACATGCATTTGCGTGCATGCTCCCTTGAATGACGAATGCACTGGAAAAGCTGAGATGTAACCTTTATATAGTCACTACAGTATATTATTATATATGTATATAGATACTGTTAATCTTTCACTGAAGAAAACCTACGGAACCCTGTCGGACCTAACAGGTGACCACACTCTGTTTTCCTTCTGTCAACTACGGTCCTCCCTCCCACCCTGTCAGTGGGTTGAACACATGACGAAACGCGAGGAGTCGGTGAGACCCTTGGTTCAGCTTGCGAGCTTCACACACCTCTAACTTTCTTTATTGGATAAAACCAGGTCTCGCCTTGCCATGGAAACGGTGTCCGTTGGTGTGCAAATGTTCCTATCCAAAAGCTTCTTTCACCTGTACCCCCACTCCTGATTGTATCCCTAAACACCTCAAGGTCTCTGAGGCCCACTGGACAATCGGTCACCCCAACAGGTGTGAACAACTGATATCGAGGTCTATTGTGCACACGAATCACCTCTCCATTCCTCCCGCGCTTCCAAAAATCCAAAAGCTGACCTGTCGTGCCGGACTGATCTACATACATGGCTTGTTCTGTACTTGGTGCATCTTCTGCACGCTGCTGCTTGATCCACTTCAATCGTTCTCGGGAAGTGAGACGTTCCTTCAATGTATGGCTTTCGTCCTGAAGAACATATCTTCCGGTACGGAGACACTCTCTAAGTGCACTGCTGTCCATGGTTTTCGTCCAACAGTCAGCCAACATTGCCTGAGAACATACCCACCGTACTACCGCGTTGTTGCGGAGTCTTTCACGGATCAAGAGACATTCAATCGTCGTCCTATGTTCAGAGCATTGTGGTAAAGCCGTTCTGGTCAACAGATCGTATGCCGATTTGCAGTCGGTGACTAAAGCTCCACAATTCCGCTCAGACAACAATTTCTCTCGATTCCTCCAGTCGCAGTCAGGATTCAAAAGTGTTTCCCATAGAACCCTTATCCACAGGAGACGATCCGCCGAGCTACTCAGGGCAGCTGCTTCCGCTCCAAGCGTACTCCTGACCACCCTTGGAACCTTCTTACTATACCAAGCCACTGGGGCGACTACTGCCTTCTTATTTTCAAGTAACTCAGGAGTGGTGGTGAAGATGATGGTTCCTTGATGGGCCGTAGTATGTTTCGTGCACGAGAAGGAAGCATCTGAGAAAGCACAGTATGTCACTTGCTGGGGATTGATTGGCAACACCATGAGTGATACTCTGTTCTGCTTAGCCTCAGCCAACACTTTGTTTGCTTGAAGAAGGTGTTTGACCTTTCCCCTTGTGACTTCACTTTGAAGTTCGCCAATTTTTGCCGATAGATCTGGTCTACTGTGCACTGCAGAGTATTGCAAGGCTCCAATGAGGCTTCTGTGTGAGGTTCGTTCACTTTCTGTCATATTGGCTTCAGGGTCCTCTCTCCTACCCCTTCCCAACACTATGGGTGCTATCTTCTCAATGTAGGGTATCTGGTCGTATTCGATCGAGCCGTCATCCCACTGTTTGAACCTGATACCTGTGTATGTGAACTCACCCTTCTCAAAAGCCCCAAACTTGAACCGAGCCTCTACTTTTCTCAGCATGGCCATGAATTTTTCACTGCCTCCCCCAATCCCATCGTCAACACGGATACCAAAACAACCCTCCAAACCGTCCTTCGAATGGTATGTAAAAACGCATGGGTCCAAAGGGGATTGTCGGCAGCCTCGTCTAATCAACTCATCTCGAAACTCGCAGAACCACAAATAGGGGGCATCGATCCGCCCGTATGCTCCCCCATCTAGTTGAACCTGGTCCGTCTCTCCCAAGTCTAAAGCGTCCTTCATTTCCGGAGTTGGTACGAGTCCGAGCGGTCGACCGTCAGCCTTTCCATGGAGAAAAGCAGTAGACACATCAAAAGAAATCAAAGGCCACCGATGACTAGCAACCCCCTGTAAAACAACCATCCTACCGTCCTTTGTCAAGGTTGGGGCGTCATTTACCACCTTGTCTAGTTCAGGATCTTCCCAACCAATAACGATCAGCCGGGCCTTTGCTTTCTTGCCCGACTGGGACAGATTCTCAGGTCGTTCATTTCCTGAGGGTGTCTTCCAGACATACAGCCATCTGCAACGCATGATCGCATGCTCGGGAATCTTTCCCTGAGCCACCTTCCGGATGGTCTTATGCTGAAGCCACGCCGACAACTCCTTATGCTTTGCCACAGCCATTCGTTTTTGATCATCCTGAGATAACTCCTTCAATTTCACCTCAATACGTTTCTTCCTTTCATTGACTGCGGCTAAGACAAAGGCATCTGGCGTTTGTGTTGATTCTTCGATGTCTCCGGCAGGTGTTATATCAATTTCCCAACAATATGTCTGGCAGGAATCCTGTGGAAAAGACACTGTATCCCCAAACATCACTGTATCCCCAAACAGCTCATCATCCTCTGGAACAGGAACATCTACCCCATCTAGTGGTCTCTCCTCAGAAACATCCATGGAACCTCTTCGTGCTGGTACTGTCTCTTCAGCCTCTGGTTCGGGTACCTCTACTTCACCAGGGTTTTCCGCATCTTGTGCAGGGATATCGGGCTCGCTTGGTTCAGGAAGGTCGCGGGATCTAGATCATAGAAGTCTTGGTGTCCGATGGACCTGGCCCAATCACGAGTGGGCAATTTGAACTCTGCTTCATCTCTGACAGCCTTCCATTCCCGCATGGACGCGGAGCGTAGCTGTTCCGGACTGGCCCGAACAAGTCTGTGCGCGTGCACTAGCCAAATGACACGCTGATTCTCGACTAGTGCCACACGTGCTAGTCCATACCATTGACCTCGCTCGCGCCTCATATTTCCACCCTTTCTTTTCCAATACAGCACTAGATCTCCTACTTCAAAGTTGTTTCTCACGGGCCTACTTCTTCTCAGCATGATTCTTCTTAGGCTATTAGAGTTGTCCATAGACACAAAGGCACGTCTAGCTGCTTCTCTCAGGTTCAAAGTTTCTTTAAATTAAAAAGGCTAGCCTCATCTTCTAGAGCTCTTACATGGCTTCCTACCTTTTCATCGGACACTATGGAACCTGGTAGTCTTGAAGAGATTCCGAGAACTGCCTGGGCCTGTTCAGGAGAGAAACCCGACTTTCGTGTCAGTGTGTTCTTTGCATGGCATGTCTGAATCAAAGCCCTTTGAAACGAGTCGTCATCTTCAATGGGGATTTCCACGTCCATCCTAGTAAGCATGTTCTTAATGATCGAACCGTGGGCCTCAACACGTCCCAACTGCCAGTGAGAATCCCTGGCAGAGACCTTTAGACTCATCCCGAACTCTTGAGCCCGGGTCATCCATGTTTCACTCACGTACTCTTTTGCTGGGTCAACATAGATAACATGAGGGGGTCCAGCCCATGCAAACCAGAAATCTTCGAGGAAGTTCCATTGGGATTGTGTGTCACTACCACAAGGCCTAGCAACCTGGAAAAGGGTTCCTTCGTCAATGACGTGTGTGAAAGAAAACGATTTTCCTTTTGAGTTGGTCCAAACTGCCCCATCCATCCCTATGGTATGACTGAAGCCTAGATTTTCGTGGATTCCCCCTACCTTTGGCAGATCATAGCCTCTGCGTGTTTCAGAACAGGCATCACACTGATAATCTCTAGCTCCATCAATGAGGGCAGGTTCTGCCTCTGTGCTCTTTAGATATCGGGATAAAGTCTGTGCATCTGGGTGTCCTAAACGATGGTGGACCTGGGATAACCATTTCTTTTGTTCTCCAGACAAACTTAGAATGCTGGGTCCATGGTCCATGTCTAGCGAGATTTCGGGGTGGATGTCCCACGATGTCTTCTTCCCCAACCGATTCTTGAACCTTGAGGTCACTGTCTTCACCATCTACTCGACCTAGGTCTCCGATCCGAACCCGTTTCTCTCTCTCACTCTCGTCCCCCTCCCATTTCCTCTTTTCGTGTCCCACGTCCCCCATGGTCGTGTCACGATCTGTTCCGGGTTCAACGACGGGTTCGATGTCTCCGAGCGGATTCCTACTCCCAAAAGCGGTCAAGGTTAACCGGGCAGGAATTCCCTTTCTAATTCGCTGCCTCTGTGACAATTTTTGCCACTTTTCTTCTTCACCAATCTGTTCTACCCTACCTGTCGTTCTACCCAAGGAAAAAGTCTTCCGAATTTCCAAATCCTTCACAGCATTCCCGGGTTTTGGGATTCGTAAGCGTTCTGTTCCTCGGCAAACCTCAGCATGCATGAGACGAAAGCTGCAAAAACTTTGTATTTGGTGGAACGCAGCCGAATCTTTTTCAATGGCCACGGAACCTACTCTAGGAGGAATCTTGTCAAGTTCAACAAACAAATCCTTGAGACGTTGATCCAGGTGTTTCTTCCTACGTTCCTCCTGTTCCATGTCCTCTCCTACATGCTCACCTACCGTTTGTTTCGAAATCAATCTCCTTCGTTTGATTGCTTCACCTACCAGTGCAATGTCGACAGGGTTGGTATGCAAAGAAATGTGTAATTCTTCTCGCAACAACGGAATTTCGGACTGGCTCAGCTGAACGGCACGAGTCACAGCACGAGCAAAGCCTGCAGAGTACTTGGCCGCATAAGTGGACAGCGGGACCCAATTTCCAAGATGTTTCACCTGGCCCTCAATCCTGCGATGATCATGTCCACCCTTGCAGTATCTGCAGTCTAAAGCTTCGTGCATAATTCGGGAGGTCGTCAAAATGACCATTCGTTTCTGAAGAGGTTCACCTTTCCAGTTCAGCCTACCTACAGCACACATGTCAAAAACAGTCGTCAGTGTCCCATATCTCAACTGTTCCAGTTCCGGTTGCAGGAGCATTTCAGAGCTCAGTGGTTGTTCCAAGTGAAAGTGTGCTCCTTGCTCCATCTGATACAAATACAGTTCTTCACACAAACAAAGGTTGCTACATTCGTTCTTCCGTTCTTCAAGGACATATTTTCGGAGTTTCAAGCTTCTACCCATGTTTCTTCGTGAGAAGTTTCCCCAAAACTTGCAGTCTGGTGAGGCCCAGATGTGCTTGGGTCTCTGTGTTCGGATGATGTTCCACAGTGCCGCCTGTCCTTCTGGTGTCCTGAGATCACCATCTTGGAGTGTAAAACGGCGGACCCGGAGGCCCATTTGGTTGGCGACATGGGTCAAACTGGAATCTGGGTAGCAGTAAATCTCCAAGATGTCCAATCTCTCTGTCGAATTGTGAGTTCGTGGTGCACAATGTCGTGTTCGGATATCAGTCGAGTGCTGTGCCAATTCTTCCAACTGGTTCTCTATCTTTTCCACCAGGTTAGATAACTCCTGATCAAAGAACTGTTTCAAAGAAGTGTCCATACTGGTCATGTCGTCCCCATTGGCTTCATTGTCACGGTAACTCGACTTCTCATTCGAATTGTCTAGGCATCTTCCTCTGGCAGTAGGAGATTCAACTCCCGCTGCAAGATCGCGATCTGCGTCTGGATCTGATTCACTCGGTCCATCGTCTCCTTCTGCATGTCCACGGACATCTTCTTCGAGGTCTCGTTGACTGGAAGCATCCTCTTGGTGGGGGCTGACCCACTTGCCGAGGATGTGATCCCCATTGGGACTTCCGAGCCGTGCATGCCCTTCAACTCGTCGACGACATCCCAATCCGTGGCCACTGCCCCGTGAAGGGCCCACTCTTGTTTGGCCTGTTGGATCATGGCTGGAGTCAAGACCCTCTGACGATGCTCCGGACCTCGGGCCTGTTCCGACTTCTCCATGGCCAGGACGTAGTTGTGAAAACTCAGTGCCCAAGGTGAGGTGCAGTCGATCTTCTTCTTCATGAACTCTGCATAGCTCGCATCCACGGCCAGGGCTTGGGAAAAGCTCTTGCCGCTGTGTTTCCCCCCTGCCAAGATCTGTTCTCCCCATTCCCTGAGTGTCCTCACGCCGGGTGGTTTCACGATCTCTACCTCGGAAACTGCCGGCATCATTGACAAGGTGTTGTCCTCCGGAAAGGTCAACGGCACATCCAGATTGCCGGCTGCATACGATGGGATCACCTGCTTGGGTGCCATGATGATGTGACTCGAGACACACTTGCTTATCGGGCTTGCTGGGAGCACGGAAGGCTTCTGGCAATGTCAGGTGAGGTGTTTGTCGTTGATGCTTGTCTTGTTTGTCTTTGTTTTCAAACACCGTCTTGGTTTGTTTCTCATCGTTTGCATTGGTCACGACCTCCCACGATTCGCCGTGCAGCAACGGATTCGATGCATGTTTCAAAATGTCTGCCAGATCAACTAGAAACAAACCCTTCTCACTCACAGCAAGTGGAATGTTCACCTTTCCATGAAACATGCATAGCGTCTGTCTCGAAGTACAAATGTCGGCCGAGACTGCCTTCAGAAGGTGGCCGGGGGGCCCCGTCAACTACCTCAATCTTCAACCACCGGGGACCAAAAGGAAAAAATGCAGCACCCAAACTCTTGAGGGTACCATTGTTTCCGAATCTGAACACAGTTTCAGATTTCTGCCATGACATCTTCTTCGCAAAGCTTTCCGGCAAACAGGTCAACAGCTGCTCTAATCTCTTTTTTCCAATCACGGACTTACTGGCTCCTGTGTCAAGTATAGCAGAACTGCCATGATCTACAAAAAACACCGGCTCATGGTGGAGGTCACGCCTGACACGTGTTCCAGACATGTGATCCCTCAAACCCTTCTTCAATGACAGTTTCACACTGTTTAGAGACAGAGCAGCACAAATGATCATAAATGAATTCTTCATTAACAAGGGTTTCTGTTTCAGAATCCCTACAAAGGTGGGAGGAGTACTTCAATGCTTCAACAAGTCGGTCCTTCCATTTCTGGTTGAGCTCGCTCGGAACGTGGTCGGTCGAATCCATCGAGCCCATTCCATTGTCCGGAATCGTCTCCTTCACATCGGACAATGGCCACCAGTCAGGAAGCGAGTCCTCAAGCGAGATGGGCAACTTCTCGAACACTTCTTGATCATCTATCGAGCTCATCTCACCATCTAAGGTCGACACATGGATCTCCGTGGAGGAGGTGGTGGGGTTGCTTCCATTCCCTTTGTTGGGGCATTCCTGACGCCAATGGCCACGTCCTGTCAGCCAGAGACTGTCTCTTCCTGAAGCCACCCTTCGGGTTCCAGGAACCCTTCTTCGCACCCTTGTTCTTTCCTTTGCCCTTGATGGGCGGCCAAAAGCCCCGAGAGCGTATCTTCTCCCGAACTCTGCCTCGGGCCTCCGTGTAGGCAGAGAAACACATGCTCAAGTCAGGGTTGTCTTGACAGGCCTCAATCAGCTGGTCCTCAAACTCAGAGACCAGCATCGCATCTTCATCTCCCTGATCAATCAGGGACTGCATTCCAGCATCTTCATCGGGTTGGTAATCCTCCTCGGCAAGGAATGTCGAAGCTTGTCCCTCTTCATCTTCTTCAACATAGTTCACTGAATACACCTTCTTCTTCATTTCGGTGCCTGACGATCCAACGAGGATCTTGGGTGCTAACTGTCTCATGGCATCTTCCACCTTCTTGGACTGCATCTCCCCCCCAGTCATAGCTAGGACACGTTTCTTGTCCTCTGGATTCAGGAAGCTCTGGCGAAGCATGATGAAAGCTTTGATCTCCTGAATGGACACATGGGCGATCTCTGAAAAGGCCACATTCATGCGGTTCACAAAGGAGAAGACCGTCTCGTCCTGTTTCTGGGTGACTCGATATAGAGCCTTCTCAAACTTCTCATACGTTTGCAATTCCGCTGAGTCTTCCCAGGCCGCAACAGTGCTCAAAAGGAGCTTGACCCCCCCTTCAGGGTCAGACAGCTTGGCACCATCGACTGCCTTGATCTGAGCCCAAGCTGTCCCTTTCATCAACAATGCCAGTCGCGGTGCCAGCATGGATTTGTCCTTTGGAGGACAAATTGATGACAGGAAGCGAACCTTGTCTGAGTATTCACGAGGATCATCAGTGGCAGGATAAAAACTGGGGAGAAGGTTCCAGATGTGCCCAGCCTTCTCTTCATGACTACTCTCGGCTTCCGGCATGGCTCCACTGGCGAGGGTAAAATGTCGTGCACAACAGGAATTCGGAACACCTTGCAACCTCCCTAAGGTTAATTCAACCTAGTGGCCAAACAACCCCCAACACTCAACTGCAACCCCTACAGTTGTCCTACGCCTCCTTGCGGAGGCTCCGCTACCAATGTTAATCTTTCACTGAAGAAAACCTACGGAACCCTGTCTGACCTAACAGGTGACCACACTCTGTTTTCCTTCTGTCAACTACGGTCCTCCCTCCCACCCTGTCAGTGGGTTGAACACGACGAAATGCGAGGAGTCGGCGAGACCCTTGGTTCAGCTTGCGAGCTTCACAAGATACATATATATATATATATATGTAATCCGTTTCTCTTTTGTTTCCAAGGCCGATGGAAGATACTCGGGCATGGCCACCCCTGAAGCCCGGAGAAGCAGGCGAACATTTTCGATGCTTCTGAGTGGACAAAGGTCGCCTTATCACTGTACTTACAAGCGCCAAAAACTATGTTCTACGTCAGCACGTTGCGTTGGGGACACTCTATTTTGACGAGCCTTAGAGAACAAAGGCCACGTTTTAGAGATGAGTACAGGCAGCATCAGAATGAGCAAACAGTCGTACGATTCTCCAACATCTCAGGTGACGTCAAAGAAGAACTCCAGGAGGAGTTGGGTAATTGGGTACAAAGGAAGGGTGAATTCGGGTGGATCAAATGCTATGTATAGTCTGCGGCTATGCAACGCACCTTCCGAGTGTCACAGGAGACGGTACCACCTTGGATGGAGAGTGGCGGACGTGGCCCTCAGCCCGCCACTCAAATTTTGTCAAGTTTGCCTCAGCTGGTGTACTTGGCTGTGGCAAGGCCGCAGTGGCAAGCTCCGGCTGAAGCTCGTGAAAGCTGGGGCCAGATGCTATCGGATGTGGGAGTATTTCATATCAAGAATCAATGACATGTTTTCACACTGTCATTTGTGCGGATCATGCCTTCATGATAAGGCGGCGAGTGGACCCAAGCGAAAGGTAAAGGTAAAGGGAAGAACAGGCAGTTTCTGATGTTTCAACATTTTTGCAGGGCAAACTGACAAGCAACTAGAGCTCTGAAACCTGGGAGCTAGATTAAGAGTTCAGGCGAAGGAAGGGCGATGGCAAATGGGCTGCATCCTCAGCTCAGCAACCTATATATATATATATCCCGCTGCCAGCCATTCCTGTCAGCAAATTTTCACCTCAGCCAAGTAAGGTCCCAAAAGGGGGCGACGATGCAGTCGAGGCTACTTGGGAAGGCATGGGAAGTGCTGTTGCAAACAAGCAAGATTGGGCTGTGCATTGCAAAACATTCACACAGGCTCAAGGCTCTCCTGGTCGCACAGCCCAGGTGTGTTGCACTTCCGCCTCTCTTCCTTTGCCCTTGCTTCTCCCTTCTCCCACACTGACCTGTGGAGCGGACAGCATCAGTTTGCATGCTGGCTCCCTGTAGTGTACCCTTTGCTGAGCCCTGTAACAACAAAGTTCCTTATTCCTCATCGTGCTTTTCCTTCATGCTGATGAGCATGCGTTGGTGATTGCCCACATATAGTTTGCTTGGGATGATCATTTTCTTCTTTGTTCATTCCTTCTCAACATGTTTTTGCTGTTGGTCTTTGTCAGTTGCCACTTGCAGGTTCGAGTAGCCGGGCCAGGAGCCTGGAAGAGAATGTGCTATGCACCCTGCACTCCTTCGGCGAGTCCCACATGTCCCAAATAACATCCACGAGATTCCAAGGCAAAGGGCTCTTCTAAAGGTGGCAAAGTTCGGATCCCCAAAGTTTTCAAAAAGTGGTGTGACACTGGCACAGCCCCTGACAGAGCCACATGTAACCTTGTGACTGCTTTGAATGGATGACTGAGGGATGGTCTGCAAATTCTGAGCTCTTGGGTGAATGGCTGGACTCGCAGGACGATTGATGACTCAACATGTACAAGTTACTGCGCAGTGCATCGCAGTGCATGAAGCAATGTTGAATCCAGCGCCAGAGGACAATGAAGTTCTTGTTCAGTCCGGTAGCAACCCCAGCTTTTGGACCTGAATCATCCTGAATCAAAATGAAAGAAATGAAGAGAAGACAAAACAGAAGAGACGGGCCCCTTTTTAAGAGGCCCCGGTCGAAGGGGCTGACCTTTTTTTTGGTTGTTTTAAGTATCCTCCTCCTCCTCCTCATCCTTTAGACTTGACAGTGATAAGGCCCACGGGGAGGACCACTAACTGCCCGGCTTTCTCGCAAAGGAGGTCGAGCGCAGGTCATGAGCCAATATCGATGCTTTTGTGCTGATGTTGCTTTCGCAGCATTTCCACACACATATATATATATATACACACACACACTTAATTGGCAATATTTTTTGTCAAGCAAAAAAACGCGGGTCTTCTTGTAAAGAGAGGAATCTACTTGTCATTTTTCATACTTTCGTGACCTTCGCACCTGTGGTTTGATATTCAGCTCACAATATCCAAGTCTCTCTCTCTCTCTCTATATATATATATACACATGCGCATTCTAACCAGCGAGCTGAATCAATCTTTCTTGGGCCACCGACATGCAGGTGCTCTCGGTACGCAGGGAGCCGGAGTCTGGTCTTTGGGCTTGTGGCAATGCCGCTCAAGCCTCGGAGTAGGGTCTCATCGAAAGGCAATATTGCTTGCAGTGGATTGATTTTGTGGCTTTTCACAAGCGCGGTAAACTTGGTGACAAGTTGACTTGTCTTCCATCTGCCAGAGCGAAGGTTTTAGACAATGCTGCTTCTTCTGCAAATGTCTTGGTATGGTCTCAGCCTTGCCTGACTGCTCTGATTGCTCACGTGACGGTTCATATTGATCAATGATTCTGGTAATGACCCTCAGTGGCTAGCATGATTGTGTTCATGCTCCAACGTTATTAGCTCATCCCACGCTCAGGGCTGCCTATGACGGCCGGAAGAGCGTTTGGAGGAGGAAAGAGGCCAGTCTAGGTGGCCGGTTTTTGACAACAGCGAAAACTAGTAGTGTAGCTGGAGTGGTTCACGCTCACGAAGTCGGAACCCAAGCGAAAGCAAACGATCGAGATCGAAGCACGAAGGACGTCGGGACGTCGCGCCGCGGCCAAGCTTTTCAGCATTCGAGCCCGCCCTCTCGGAGCGGAAGGTATGGTGCAAACGCGGAAAAACATGACTCACAGCGTGCGTCATCACACGGGGTGGTCACTGGCTAGGCGCGGAATGTCTCGACGCGTCAGCTAGCCATTGGTGCACGTCCTGCCGGATGTTCCACCCTTGTGGATAGATCGTTCGATCCGGTGGTGGCAAACAGCCTGCACAGTATGCGCAGCCACGGACAACCACTAGGTTGTGAGGAGCGATTTGCTCGGCTACATGACATCCTGCCATGTGCCAACACTCACCTTTCTTTGAAACATGAATCTCTTTCAGGAAGGGGCACATCTCAGCATGGTGGTCCATCTCTTTCTCGAGGGCTCTCAGGAGGCTTTCAGCATCCAGCACTAGGCCTCGTAGGGCCTCCACTTCAGGCTCTTGCAAAGCCAGGGCTGCTCGAGCTTCTTGACTGGAGCAGCTGCCAAATTCTTTTCAGCCCTTCGTGCCATCTCAGCCAAGTCTCTCTTCAGGTCTTGGTTGAGCTCTCGAAGACGTTGGGGCACGATCTGCTCCTCTTTCTGCACGGCCGCGTCGGCCAGCTGTGGCTTGGCGGGTGATGCTGTCCAGCGTCCCACCGTGAAGACGGTGGCCATGGCGAACACGTGGCATGCAGCTAAAACCAAAATCCAAAAGGACAGGTAGTCGGGCTCTTCGGTGGGCTTCTCCATCGGCACTTTGGGGCATGTGTCTTCCGCCCCTGCAGCAAAAACCATAAAAAACACACCATGAAAAACATGACATTCTTCATGCGACTCAGGTCCATGGGGTGCATGCGGGAGGCGACATGGCTGGAACTGAGGACATACACAAGCGGCTTGACATTCCGTGTGTAGTGCACGAACTCACACAGCTCTTGGTCATACTCTGCCTGGTGCTCATCCTGTGACGTGTGGGATTTGGCAGTCACTTCATGCTCAGTCAGCGGGTGCTCATCTTCCATGTTCCACTCTTCTCGCATGGCCTCTTGGCCTGGTGGTTGCTCGAAGTTCGTGGTGGATTCTTTGATGGCCTCGATGCGCTGAGCTTTGGTCTTCTTCTTGGCTGCCGTGTAGGATGGACCCCACGTCAGCTTGAGGCGACCATGGCGTAGTCGAGACGCCAGCAAGGAGCGAGCGCTCTCCTTCGTCAAGCCGTCGGCAATCTGCCGTTCAGAACTCATCCATCGAAGACTGCCTCCAAGGCATTCCATTCTTTCCTTCATGACCCTGATTTCCAGGCTCACTCTCTTGTCGATGAGTGAGGAGCTGATTCCTTCTCGATGGTAGGAATCATATAGGGCCTTGGCATCGGTCACCAAGACAGGCTTCAGGGTGGACTTCGCCTCGATGAGGTCCTGGAGCCGAAGACTCGGCTGGAGGAGGTGCTGCCAGAAGCGACGTGTGAAGTCGACGGAGTCGGCTGCTTGTCCTCCTGCTTGAGCTTCTGCGCCCAGTGAGCTTCTCGCCGCTCTTGGCGTCTTGAAGCTTCTCCAGTTGATCACGTGGTACTCGCCTTCCTCGGAGGAGGTGAGAAGGCTCTGGTTGACCAGGAGGGTGATGTAGCCACCTTGAGAGTTGCCGTCAGGTCGAGCGGTGAATCCAGCATCGAAGAACGTTATCAGCCGTAAGTCCTGTGGCTCTCCGATGTAGTTGTAGGTCAAACCAACATCTTTGTTGCACTCATGTAGAGTCTGGACAGTGGCCTTCGTGGACTGGCCTGACAACATGGAGGTGGTGCACTGTAGGTGCGGTGAGCTCTGCACTGCCGGCCATTGAACTGAACCAAGTAGGCCTCTGATTTGCGCGATCTCACGCTCATGCACTGACTCGCTCATGGGGCGGTTCTTGTTGAAGGTGATCGGACTGATCTTCCCCATGTTCCTGGTGCAGCTTGCGACCGCCTTCCGGCGTGGAGGTGAGCTCACAGCCACAGTATTCCAGCTTGGGAAGCTCTTGTTTCCATTCCCTGAACGAGAAGTTCTCCTTGAGGCGCTGAATCACTTCGGCATAGCATGGTGACTGAGGGCATCCACTGCCGAGCATGTCGTCAACATGCATGATGATCATTCCGACCAGCTTCTCATCACCGAGGCTGCGAACTTGTTCATGGATGGGGTCGGCTGCATTGTAATTGGGACTGTCAGTCTCGTGGACCAAGAAGCAGCAGGGATCGAGTGGGTGCTGTCGTAGTCCAGCTCGTAGCAGCCTGTCAACAGCTTCCAGAAACCATCCTCTTGGGGCATCGATTTGCCCATAGCAAGGCTTCAACAGAAGCATGCGGGTGTCTTCATCAGCTCCCAGCAACTGAAGACTTTCTGCTGGAAGTTTGACCCAGAGCTTTCGGCTTTGAGGACGGCCTTGAAGGAAGGCAGCGGAGACATCGGCTGTCCAGGTTGACCACTGCATGTTGGCTGCGAGAGACAGTACAAAGCTTCTGCTGAGCCTCGTGGTGGTTGGACTCGAGGTGGCGACTTGTCCTGCCAGGGCGTCAGGGTCATTGTATCCTCTGACGATGAGGCGTGCCTTTGCACGTGGACTTCCATCTCGGTGTTTTGACCACTTCAGGATCATCCGGGAGGTGAGCGTTCTGGCCTCGTCGCTCTTGTGTTGGAACTCCCAAACTCCATGGTCAAAGAATGACTTGAGCTCTTTGACCCTGGCTTCTTTGAACATGGCCCGTTCATCAGGGCCCAGAGTGCGTTCATTGACGCCATTCTTCTCCTTCTTGAACTTCTTGGCTTTTGCCAGCTTCTGGCTCTTGGCTTCTTGTTTGGCGCTTGTGAAGGCCTGGTGTGTGCCGGTGTACATAGCAAGCTCCTTCCTGGTGGTGCCGTTCAACTGGAAAATGATGCAGCCTGTCCAGGCTTGGTGGCTGTCAGGTGGTGGACTGGTATCAGTGCCATCATCGGTGAACAGCTTGCTCTTGCCTTCTTGTAGGTGGACCATTGTGACCTTGACTCGGTCGAGGGCATCGGTCGGGACCGGACAGTCCTTGGGCAAGGCTTCAAGCGTCATGCGACCACGTCGAGGGATGAGATGATGCCTGATGAGGCAGCCAGCTTTGACTTCCCAGTAGTCGGACACCTTGTCGGTGAGGCTAAGGTATCCCTCTTCATCCACATACCAGCCTTGTGGGAGTTGAGACACATCGATGTCCTCCACAGTGAACCCTTGGTCAGTCAGACCTGTCTCAGATGGATGTTCGGTGGACCTTGGTGCCTCAATGCTGTGTTCTGCCCGTGATGGATAAGGTTCCACTGGCGGGCCTCGTCTATTCCGCCAGGGTGCAAAGCTGAGAGTCTCCTGCCGGTTTAGCCGGAGACGCTGTTGTTGGAAGGTCTCGGGTCCGGTTGGTTCGTAGAGTGCTGCTGTGGCCGGATCAAGTGTCGGACGAGCGCTTGCCTTGGGAGTGGGCGCCACAGATCGAGTGGGTGGTTCCTCACTGGGTTCATCGCTTGCAGCATCACTTCCAACTGGTACGTCGGCTGGTGCCGGAGGCTCTGGGGCATCGTCTGTTGGGCGTTCATCGCCTGGCTCTGTTGGTGCATACTCGGACATGCCTGGTACCTCTGGTTCCCGCTGAGGTGGCATTTGGTGCCTCTGGTGCCGGTGGTGTGGCTTCTTCAATCGCAAGCCGAGCACGCCTGCGAGGTGGTGCCATTTCGTGATCTGAGTCGGACTCCAGGTCACCGCCCTCACCATGCTCATCTTCTTCAACATCGACCAAGTTTCTCTTGTTGAGCTTGTGAAGGTCGTAGTACCGAGACACTCCACGAGATCGGAGTTGGCGAATCTGGTTCAAGGCTTCCTGAGTGTCCTCAAGGGAGTGAGGTTCCGTGTACTCCTTCATGACCACGTGAGCAGGTCCCAACCAACGAATCTTGACTAGATCGGGCTGCTTGGCGTCACGCCAAAACCAAACCTTCTGACCCAACTGGTACTCAGTGTTGGCGCCCTTGTACTTCATGCCAAGTGCTCGCCTGAGTCGGCGGTCAGTGTCGGCCTCGAGCAGGGCCTTCTTCGCAGCGTGTCTCTTGTTCAGGAGGTCTTCGAAGTCGGGGTTGCCACCAAATTGCATTCGTGACCAGAGCTTGCACTCAGGAGCAACGAGGATCTCATCCGGCATTTCTTCATCGACAAGGACGAGGAACTGCTCCTGGTGGTCCAGCAACTCGAAGTTCCAACCCGTCTCCAGGGAGAATTGACGGGTCTCCATGCCAAGCGAACTTGCGATCTCTGAGGTCCTCGCTTTGCCACGTGGCCGTTGAGGTCGATGCAGCTCCTGTGTCAGGAAGGCAGAGAGGTCATTGATGTGCGTGTTGAGTTGCACATCCATGGTCTTGAGCTCGTTCTTCTTGAGGTAGTTGATGCCAGGGACGATGGGCGCATCCTGAGGAGCATCCATTGAGGTGAACACTTTCTCTCCCTTGATGAAGTCAGGGAGGGTGTAGCCGTCGACCTGGTGCTGGCTCATTGGTGCGCATTTCGAAGTAGCCGGACTCAGGCCATTGATCGTCTTCTTCATAGTCGTAGTCATCGTCGGCTGCATAGGCCCGATGGGATCGCCAGGAGGACTGGTTGAACTTCCGGTTACGTTCAACACTCCATCCACCACCCTTGTAATCCTGACCCAGGATGAGGTACATCGCCTTGATGACAGCCTGCTTCTCAAGACTTGGGGCCTTCAGAGTGATCATCTGTCGCTGTTCGCGACTCAGTGAAGCTCGTCGTAGGAGACGCCATCCTTGAACTGATGACGGAAGCTCCACCTTGTGCTGCTGAAGCTTGCGATATGCTTCTTCGTGGTCGGTGACATAGAGCAGCAAGGTCTGACCACCCTGTCGTTGCAACAGGTTGAAGTAGCCCTCCAAGTCATTCGGGAGCTGGACGCGAGCGTCGTAGGAGAAATTGGCATCCAGGGTCTTCACAATACGCTCAAATGCGTCCTCCTTCTCAAGCTCCTCGATGGTCCAGTCTTGGAAGAGGCGCCAGGTCACGCCGGTGAAAGAACCGACCAAGTTGAGCGCGGCTTCATGGCCCCGCTTCGTGATGGCCATCTTCCTCTGGTATAGGTGTAGCCGTTGGCGCCATTCACGATAGTCAGCGGGTTGTCCACTGAAGGTGGGGACGTAGCTGTCCCTCAAGTCCAGGAAGCCGGAGCTCTCTTTGCCATCTGAGCTGGAAGCCTGCGTCGTCGTCTTCTTTCCAGGTGGTGGCATTGGTTCAAAGCGCTCCACTTTGTCGTGCTGGTAGCCAGGGGTGATGTGGTAGGCGAAGAAAAGAAACCAGCGCAGACAAACGCAGGAAAATAGAGCTCCTTTGACCGACCTTGACGAAGGGCTTATCCCGAGCGAGGATGGCGTCGTAGCGACGTGCGCGGGGAGCCCGGGTCGCCCCGGGCTCCGCTACCAATGTAGCTGGAGTGGTTCACGCTCACGAAGTCGGAACCCAAGCGAAAGCAAACGATCGAGATCGAAGCGCGAAGGACGTCGGGACGTCGCGCCGCGGCCAAGCTTTTCAGCATTCGAGCCCGCCCTCTCGGAGCGGAAGGTATGGTGCAAACGCGGAAAAACATGACTCACAGCGTGCGTCATCACAAGTTATGGCCTCCACCTAATAGCGTCCTTGTTACTATGCGTGCACATTCCTTGCATAGACCCGGGGAGATAAAATCAGATTCCGCAACTTCACGATTCAGAAACTCTGCGATTCCGCAGCTTCTCCCTGCCAATTCAGAAACTTTCCGTGCGATTCAGCAACTTCCCGATTCAGAAACTTCCCAGAAACTCCGCCGATTAATTGGTGAGGTGGGGTGGGTGGAGTTGCATTCGCTTGTTGGGTCAGAGCTCTACCTGGGTTTGCTCAAGATGGGGAGAACTGAGCCATCTTGACAACGTCTGCACCTGCTGACATTCTTAATGATTTGTTCGCTGAAGTCTCCGCGCCCCGAGCTTCCGCTTCCGTGCGCCTCCCAGTTACCGAACCCGCTCGGGAAGTTTACAAATCCAAGAATGCAGCTCCGTCTGGAGACTTTTCGAAATCTGCGCTCCGTAGTTTCCGAAATTACGTTTCTGAACCAACGTTTCCAGGCTCGCGCGCCGCCGGTTTCTGACATGTTCAGAGCAACTCTCTTGTGAACTCCTTTGTCCCTACTAGCATCTTGTTACTAGTAGCGATGGCCTCCAACCTACTAGCGGTGGCCTCCGCCTAGTAGCTTCTAGCAGACCGCATCCTTTCGCCAACCAGCAATAACCAGTTTGAAACAGGACTTCTTCACTTGGGGGTAAGGACAAACCATGTTCCCAACCATTCTCCCAAAAGTCTACCGTTGGTACCATTTCCCTGTCGATCAATCACATCATTTTGCAATATTTTTTACTCTTATATAAATCCGGTCAGGTCAGGGATCATGCGACCATATGAGCTAGGCTCACAATTAGCGATAGTGACGACGAAGAGTCAGCAAGTGGTTTTGGGATTTCAACAGGCGCGTGTTGATAACAAACTCACCAAAACCGATAACGTGACGGAGGGGAAAAACGAGAATACACTCACCAAATCCTGATGACCTGCAACTCCACAACACATTTTGACCATCGTTCAGAGTTCATAAGGCTATTCCGATTTTTTGAAGCTGATGCCAAGCTGGCAGGTTGGCATTGAAGCGGATCCCGAGGACCTGCTTCCGTTCGGTTTCTCAGCACAAGTCCAAGCGCAAAGCTGCCTGTCAATATTTGTCAATGATAAGCGTGCAATGTTCTAACATTCTGAGAGCTTCATGTTCTGATAGGTGGTTGCTGCGGGTGCCAGCGATGCAAGGCGCGTTGGGTTTGTACTTGACATGGAGCAATATTTAGACATATGATATATACTGTGTATATATAATATATGAGTCATACGACTATTTCGAGCAGGTGTTTGGGTGTATGACTTTTGCTTGACATGCAAAACACTAACATGCAGCAAAAGTACGTGAGAGGTGGGAAGATCAAAAGGTGCAGCAAACGATCATAGAAAAAGAGAAGGGCAAGCAGCAAAGACGAAACAGGCACGGATAGGTGGATAAAGATAGATATATAGAGAGATAGATTCGGTAGGTAGGTAGGTAGGTAGGCAGGTAGATAGAGAGACAGATAGTGAGACAGACCAGACCAGACCAGACCAGACCAGACCAGACCAGACAGGGAGACAGAGACAGAGAGATAGAGATAGAGATAGATAGAGAGAGACAGAGAGAGAGAGAGAGAGAGAGAAGAGAGAGAGAGAGAGAGAAAGCGAGAGAGAGAGAGAAAGCGAGATGGATGGATAGATAGACAGATAGATAGATAAATAGATAGATACGAAAAGACGGGATGTCAGAGACACCCACTGTTTTTTGGTGTGTCGTTGCACCGCCATCACAATGCTTTGGGAGCTTTATCCCAAACCGTAGTCATTGATGGATCAATTTCTTTTCCCGAGCAAACATGACGCTATTGGCAGACATCAGCCGCCTGACAGCTTTCATCGATCTTTTGGAGTCATATCTCAATTTTGGCCCTCGCTTGCGCGCAGCGTGCTGCAGAGCAGTCGGAATGGATTGGACATGTCTTGCAACTGTTGGGTGCGTTGGATGCTTCCTCTTGCACACTTTCAGACCTTGTCAAAAAGCGCGCGATCTCCGCAAAGGTTCATCCGGCGCTGGCGCCACGAAATCGCATGTCACTTCACGTTTGAGCGCTCAACGCGCGCGATCTCTGCACAGGTTCATCGAGCCCAACGCAAATTCACATTTCGCCTCACGTGTGAGAGCTCGATGCGCGCGATCTCCGCATGAGGGTTCATCCGCCCCCAACGGGAATTTGCATTGATTTCGCCTAGCACTTGAGCATCCGAGGCGTGCGATCTCCGCAGATCAGCTTTCTCAAGCCCTGTCCGGCCAGGCCGCCGGCTAAGAAAGGGTAGATTCGATTGTGTCACCCGCGTGGGAACTCAGAAATGTCACACCAAGCATGTTAGCGCGTGTGATCGCAAGTTTTTCTGGAAGCAAGACCCAGCAAAAGTTACTCGAGATACTTTAGAGGTGTGTTTAATCAAACAAGATCCCAGCGAAAGTTACATGCGCTGTTTGGCAGGTATTTTTACTGAAGTAAGATCCCAGCGAAAGTCACATGAGCTTTCTGTGCAGGTATGTTTGCTGAAGCAAGATCCCAGCTCAAAAGCGGTTCACTGAAGCAAGAGCCCAGCACCAAAGCAATTCTCCTGCAGTACGAGCAAGTGTTGTATCATCAGCTCTTTGGCAGGTATGACGGTATGCTGCTTACTTGAGAAGATCCCAGCGTAAAGCAGTTCACTGAAGCCGGGAAAACCCCAAGGTAGTATTACCACCTCCGTAGCAGCAGCCGTAGAAAACCACACCTGCAAGCTGCAGATGTACTGAGGCATACCGACAAACGCAGGTCTATAAGTTCAAGTGTAGCAACGCAGATCTTATGGCGTACCAACAAACGCACAGATATTTTACACTCTCGATTGTAGTAACGCTGATCTGTAGCGCAAGTCCCTTCTAGAGAAGAACCTTTCGCAACGCTCCCGGGACGAAAAGCTGAACTCGGAAACCCAGCAGCAAAATGTCAGATTGTTGCTTGAGGCTCTCAGCCAGAAAGTTGGCATTGCTTTGGTTTGAAGATTCCCTGTGCCAGTGTGCGTTTGACCTTTATCACTTGGTTCTTGATCACCCCAAGCAACCAAGTAGGAGTAAACGCATGAGCAATAGCAGCGGTGCGTTCATTTGTTGGCTGGAAAAATGATGTTGCGTGGAAAGGGTGAAGCAATTCCGATGAACATCTGTTCATAGGAATTTGGGGCCCGCTCTTCACTCTTGTGCGCTCTCAGCAGTTTGCGTCCTATGTGAAAAGAGGAAAGGATTTCCAAAGTTTTTGACAGCGCGAAGGAAATTTGGTATATTGTTTGCTTGAGTAAAGGATTTCTACGTCTTAGTTGCCCTCAATCGCCATTCCACCACCAAAGCGCTCGGGCCTTGCCAGCCTTGCTTCCTTCGGTGAGGCTGCTTAAAACACCGCCCCTTTAAGAGCAATGGAGCAACGAGCAAGAGCAGGTCGCCTTGAAAGCGCCATCGGTCCTGACTCTGTCTAGACATCGCTGTTCAACATGGGCCCGGGGTTAGGCCCTCCCAATTTTTTCCTACAAGCCATTGACCTACTGTATGTAACTGTAATGACGAAACCCCAATGTTTTTACTTTTCCAATGTTTTGACCCCTCGTCAAGATACCGGCGTTGCACGCGGCGCGCAAAGTTCATCTCAGGCTTGAGCGCAAAGACCAGTCTGGCTCACATGGCAGGCATTTCTCTAGAGACGAGACTCGGTGTATTCTTTAGAACTCTGGAATTCAGACGCTTCCAAATAGGTAAATAGAAAGATAAATAGATAGATAGATAGATAGAACCACAGATAGACAGATAGACAGATCGACAGATCGATTTAGATAGATAGATAGATAGATAGATAATGATAGATAGATAAGGATAGATAGATAAGGATAGATAGGCAATGATAGATAGATAAGGATAGATAGATAATGATAGATAGATAGATAGATAGGTAGGTAGATAGATAGATAGATAGTTAGATAGACAGACAGATAGATAGATAGCTGGATAGATAGATAGATAGGTAGACAGGTAGAGAGAAAGATACACAGAGAGAGAGAGAGAGAGAGAGAGATAGATAGAGATACAGAGGGAGAGAGAGAGAGGAGAAGCGAGGAGACGAGAGAAAAAAGAGAAACGAACAGAGAAGAGAAAAAAAAATATGAAGAGGGAAGGGAAGGGAGGAGAAGAGAGAAGAGGAGAGGAGAAGAGACGAGAAGGGAAGGGAGGAGCGGCGAAGAGAAGAGAAGAGACGCGACGAGACGAGACGAGAAGAGACGAGAGAAAGGGAGAGGAGAGTTGAAGAGAAGGGAAGACAAACGAAGCAAAGGGAATGGAAGAGAAGAGAAGAGAGGAGCGGGAACGAGGAAAAGGAAACAAAACTGAAGGGTTTCAGTAAGAGAAATAAATCGGCCCGCCACATGACAACATCCAGACGACAAACCAAATTAGCATTGCTTGTCGAGATTCTGGCGTGAACATTGGAAAATAGAGGTCGAAATGTTTTTAAATAACAATATCAGAGCAAACACTTGTGACAAATGTACAGCAAACTATTGCCCCGCACAGAGGCTTCGGCAAGGACCAAAACGAATGAGAAACAATGTAACAATGAGATCAACCAAAGCGATGGAAAGACAGTCGGCAAGGTGGCACGGTTTGGAACTGTGCCTGAAAAACAAAAGGTCAAGGAGTAGAAACTTTTGACATGTTGAGACAACTTGGTATAGCCTCCACCTTCCACTCACGAAGGGCTTGGCTTGAGCCAGATGGCCAAGGGAAAGGAGCTGCCGAAGGCTGGACAGACGACAAAGTCTTAGACTCATTGGAGTGTGGGTCTTCTCTTGATGGACTTTGTTACAGACGTCTAGCATGTCTCCACTTGTGTCAGGCCAAAGGTGCCAACGGCAAAACCGAAGGTTGGCACAGTAAAACATCAAAAGCATGCAGACTTTTATGAGAGGAACAAGCTGTGTCGAGAGTTTGGACATTCACTTTTGCACAAGGAGGCTTCTCGCCGCCACGTCGACGACAGCGAAATTGGAGTCGCCACTTCAGACTGGGGAGGGATCAAAAACTGGTCTATTGGAGATTTGATGTATGCTGCAGTGAGGTTCAATCTCCATGGACAGTGATATTGCGGGAGTATCTACCTCAGATAAAAGATGCACTGTGTTGAATCGTGGAGTTTCTGACTGATCATGCCTGCTTGCAGCAATTTTTGCGCCGCTGTGTAAGGTCTTTGTTGCTTCTGCAGAGGACCTGCGACAGTGTCGCGAAGAGTTCCCTTCGGCAAGAATATACAAGTATGTATTTATACTTCTAATACCATACGGCATTTACTTGTATCGAACGGGTGGACTGAGGGTATTTCTATGCTTTTATGTGAGAACATACATCATCAGGATTGTTGGGCCTATCGCTGTCGCCACATGTGGCCCGAAACGTTTGTGACTTCAGATCAATTCTTCAAGTTATGATCAGTGCTTAAGCGTCAATTGCATGAGAATCTGCATTTTGGTTTTTGTTTCTTCTCAGTCTGACTACTATGGCTGAATGTGGAATTTGGATGAAGGAGCAGCCCGTGGGTAACTCCTCGGCAGGCACTTTCAGCAGAGACGCGCAAAGGGACTCTTTTTTGCTGCAACATCGTCATGCAATACACATTGTATATGTGCAAGCTGCAAGTTGAGGTGACACATGCAAGACTTCATCTGAGGAGTTTGAGCCTGAGATCGCAGGATAATGTCATACAAGGTTGCTGCTTGTGCCCCTTTGACACTTTGCTCCATATGTCAGGATGGTGCAGCATCAACCTGAATCGACCGAGTCTGGTCAGGAGAACAGATTCATTGACCCATGTTTTGTCGATTCGATCATGTTCCATCATGTTCCGTGTTGTTCCCTGGGCCCCTGCCTGCCTCTTTGTGTGAGAGGTGAAATGGGGTGGCACACAAGCAGCATGAAAAGCCAGCACACCTGCTCAAGACCGATGCTTTACATGATAGAACGACACGTGGCCAAAGTGGTGTCAGGATGCTGTGGTGAGCACCACAGGCAAAGTTCCAGCCCATTTCTCAGCTTCACGCAACTCTGGGACCCGAGTTACACTCACTCATTGACGCCGGGTCTCATGTACGCTTCATGGTCTTCGTTTTGGGTCATGTTGTCGCTGGGTCTCTCCGAGACTCTCCTTGTCACTTTGCTAGGCTTACTTTGACACCTTTAACGCAGCAGCAGATGCTGCCCGAGCGCGGCTCTCGGGCTCGGATCGGCCAAAGATCACCACATCTTGATCTGCCGGGGAGGGGGTAGGCCGCGGATAGAGGGATGAGGTACAAGCTAGGTACTGTAACTGGATGCAGGATAGCTCACGCTTTAAGAAAGCTCCCCCCGCCGTCTTTGGGGGGAGCTTCCTTGAAGAAGCGCAAGTACAAATCATTTGGTTCCTAGATTTTTCAGCAAAACTCTTCAACTGTTCTTTTTTTCCAGGCTGAGACTTGAAAGGTGGAAGATTCAACGAAATGCAAAAAGCTTGGGACCAGTGTGTGAGGGTTCATTCAAGTGCTAGGTCTCTGCGATCCTGGATGCAAGACAAGTGAGAATCTCAGAGAGAATCCAAGACCGCACAGACGAGCTGATATGTTGAGTTATATAACCGGATGTTTCATTCATCCCATGTTGCTGAGCTTCCAACCCCTCTTTCCAACTTCTTCAAGCATTTCTTGAGCCCATTTACACTTTTTTGCTTTAATTTGGAGAGCATGGGACAGGTCCTGGGAGCTGCTGGGAACTATCAGGACAGTGAAACCAGTCTGTTGAGACGGTTTGACTTGCCTCCTCCAGCTGCCAGCTTTTGGTCACTAGTCTATCACTATCATGGATTTTCCAAAACGCTGAGCGCTGAATCCGCCCGTGAGGAGATCTTTAGTTATTTGTTGATTGATCATGATTTACTTCGCACCGACGGTGAGGACTGGCATCCGAACCTGCTGAAAGCTTTGCTGGGATCTGACGGTGTGTCTGCAGGACCCAATGGTGCCTTCACTAAGCTCCACGCTGTGGCAGAGGCGAAAAGCCGGCGATGAGTTCAAGTCTAGAACGTGGAGCATTCAATAGGTTTCAACGCTTCAAGTCTTTGACAATTGTAGTGTCACAGGCTGCCTGAGACGCCTCGGCGCAATGTGCTTCAGCGTCGTGTCCCAAGCACAAATGAAAGCCCTATTTGACATCAAATGACCGACACATTCCAGATCAGGCTCAAAACATGCTCAGCAACCTCCAAACAGCGCAGTTCTGCTATGTTGCATGGCCTCGTGCTCTTTAGTGCGAAATTGTGACTGCTTCGGATTTGGCGAGGCCTTACAGCATTCCACGATGGCAGGCATGACACACTTTATGCGAGAAACAAACATACTTCTTTGTCCGTACTTCAGATGTCTCTTGATTCGCAGTTTCGTGCCGGGCAGCTACGTGGCGGAGTTTCCTGCTGGAAACTGGAGTGAGGCAGTTGCTCACATTGTGAAAAGTGTCCAGCCAAAGGGTCTCAGCCAAGGTAGGCATATTTGTTTTGTGCTGCGAAGCTGCCAACATGCTTTCCTTCGTCAATGCCTCTCCACTTGGACGTTCAAGATTCCTTGGTGTTTCCCCATAGTGATTTGTTGATCCTGACAGGTCTTTGTGGGCCGACACCGTTTTCCTGTCGTGCATACTGACATTCAGGCTTTTCCTGTTGTGGTTTTGCTACTTTTGCGGAAACTCCACATTGTGTGTCCGAGCTGCAGGCACTTCTGAAGCGTTACACCTTGGCAGAGGATGGGACACATTTACTTTGTTTGATGGTTGGTTTAGTTTTTCGAGCCACACGTTTTCACTCGTTGCCCCTCCCTGCTAGGACAATGTTGCCTCACGGGCATCAGCGGGATGCTTTGCAGTAAGTGTATGGTATGTTTAAGGGCATAATTTTGTTTGTTCCAAATACTGAAGCTAGGAACAAGAAGCTACTAGGAACAAAGGGCGTCCCTACTAGGAGCAAGAAGCTACTAGTAGCTCCTGGCATCGGTCCAAGACATCGCCCATTGGCCTTTGCGATTTTTTGAGGCCATGGCCCGAGTGCTGTCGTTGTATCGGGCCTTGGAGTGTCGACCTCAGAAACCTCCTGTGCATCAAGCGAGTGTCCTGGAGTCCTGGATCGGTTCTTCAACTTCTCAGGAACCCAGCGATACCTGCGGGACAGCGAAGCTCACACCAACTTTGCTTGATGCCTTAGCTTGCACAGCACCTTGCAAGAAGGAAATGAACAAAAGGAGACTGGTCCACAACAGTTTTCTGCCACCTCTTGAGAATCAGGTGCTTTGGCAGATATACTCATAATGTCATATGTACTCCAACCTTCTAATCATCATCAGTTATTCACTATATTGTATTCCTGTACTTGCCAGTTTGACCCAAGGAATTGTTGAAAGCTAAGCAGCTAAGGTGCTTCCAATCCTGCCTCTAGAGCAGCTGAGGAGGTTGAGTGCGCTCGAAGTTTCCAGCGATATGTTTTCCAACGGTAATTTTTGGAGCGCCGACATTTGACAAGTCGCAAAGGGCTCTTTTCTGGACATGTTGGCACATGTATTTGCTGTAACCACATACCTTGCTGGGCCTTCAGTGGAGGTACGAGCTTTTTGCATCTCCTTTCAATGCAGCTGCGGAGAATGGAAAGTATTCTGCTTAGTTTGCATTACGCTCCGTAAGAATTGTGCGTGGCAGGGAATGTCTTTTACACTTGCCAGCATGATCTTGAGCTGTAAGCGCCATCCAGATGCAGTGTGAACCCATTTCCCAGACGAGGTACGCCTCTCGCTTTCCGCACGCAGAGGAAGTCTTTGGATCGGGGGGATCGTGACTCGACTCTATTTGGCTTGGCAACTCAACTGGTGAATGGAGTGTAATTACAATGAAGGATGTGAAAAGAGTTGCTGTATATTTTCAGGAACCACTTGTGGGACTCCACTCTCAGGTTCAATCAGTGTGAAAACTTTTCCGAAGGTATCCAAGTGTCCTTGACAAGTGGCCTTCCACAGCTGCCTGCTTCTTGGAACGTGCTTGAAAAGCAGAGAAGCGAATGGTGTTCCTTTCTTGGTGAGAAAAACAATCAAATCCTGACAAGCTCGTTGGGCAGGTTGTGACGGTCAATCCACCTTTCTCAGATGCGTGCCTTGAATGAAATCAGAAACAGTTTAGTCGGCCTACAAAAAGTTACAAGAAATCTAGGAAGCCTCATCCATGCTACCAGTAACTAACTTACGCCCCGATAACTACCCTTCCTATACCACCCGAGAAAGGTTACAAGAGCCCGGGAGGCTATGGCCTTTAGCTTGTTGACTTGATCACTTCACGTATATAGATGTAAACTCATGTCATGTTTTTTTTCCCGAATGCGTAGCGAAGGGTTCCCGTTTATAGTTGGGGGTCTGGGGGTTGGAGCTGTGTTTGCATGGCTTGCGTCGTCTCGTCGTCTCTCGTCGTCTCTCGTCGTTTGTCGTCGTCGTTGCGTCTCAAATTCGCTGCCATTGGGGGAAGCTTTTGCAAGTGACTTTGCATGGATGTGTCACGTGTCAGTTTGCGCCGCTATTCCATTGTGATTTGCATGACAATGACATGTCGCGCAAGAAACGTGATGCGTTTCGCTGCACAGGCGCAGCGTTTTGTGAGATCCGCAGATTGCTGCGCAGTTCCATTGGGATCAGCGTTTGGAGAGTCGTGTTTTTGGGGTGTTGGATGTGGCCGTGCCATTGGGATTTGCGTTTC